CATGGAGTTAGAGATCAAATACACTTTTGAAAAAAATTATATTATGGCAGATATCAAATAGTATTTTTTGTCTATTTTATTTGGATTAAAAACAATAATTTTAAAATTTGAATCTATACATGAGGTAGGTAATGGCTATTTGCTATGGTCTGAGAAACATTACTAAGGATCATTGGAAGACATACTATCACAATTTTTTATCCTATGCAGAAGGAATCTCATTTGTGAGGACATTTCCTCAATTTAGTTGCAGATCTGAAGGGGAAGGAAATTTTATTTTCATACGTGCACCCCTCGTACTGCTCAGTGATTGACCACAGGACTTTCGAGTCCACTAATTTTACGAGCACATCTCAAGTACTCAGTGGGTCTTAGCCCAAACAAGAGTCAGATTCTCAAGTCACTGAACTACTACTGCTTTGAATTTGTACTAGAACCACCTTAAATAATGTATATTTTATGAGACAGCGGATGCACCTTGAGGTTGCCTAAATCGCAGTTTTACATTTTGTAAACAAATTTGGCGATTAAATCATTGCTGTCGTGATAATAATTATTTATCTCGATCATTCGAAAGTTACGATCATCCATTGTTGGTACTGATAATCCAGGTTTTCCAGAAAGCCAAGTATTTCACCCTGCACTTGCTTCACATTTTTCCCCCATTTATTTTTCAGATTCCCGTTATTGCTGATCTTCCTGTAGGGGATAATCTTCAAAATCACGTTGGAGCCGTTGGACTTTCGTTTGAAGTTCCTGAAGCACGTGATTTATACAACAGAACATTTTCTTATCCAAATGAAACAGCGGAGAGTTTTCTTAAATTTGGCAAAGGTAATTGTGATCTCTAAATATTGCCGAGAAATGTGAACCCACTTCCGATATAATCATTTACTCTCTATAAAGACATACATCTGGCTACAAAAAGAAAGAAATCTTTCACGCAAGGCAATTATGTAAGCTAAGTCATAAATTACTAAACAAGAGCTTGGCTTCTTTTTGAAGAATGGAGGTTGTGATGTCTTTGCGTGATTTTCCGAAGCTATTTTGCCAAGAAAAATAAAAAAGTCATAGTTTTTATACTTGAAGCAAGTCTATAATTTTTAACGATATATACCATCTTGCACAAAAGAATTATCTGGGCTGCAGAACAGACAAATTACTAAAATATTTAAAAAGACATTAAACTTACTATTAAAGATATTACCTCGATAAAAATTATTAAAATCACTGCTTCATTCTCCTTTTTTGCGAATTTATAGAAGCTCAGATAAGGCAACTTTGGTGTTAGACCACAAACCACACCAATTAGACCACAAACTTCTCACATTTTCTCAAAACTGTGCCTTTTCTCCATATTGTAATTTGCGCTATTATCAAAATTAGCAAAAAGACGTTGGCTAAAGATAAGCTAAGCTTGATCCAACAGTCATGAGTAACTGTTGCAACAGTTATAGAAAGATAAAATAATTCGCAAAAAGTATCATATCATGCGAAAGCCGAGCCTTTGAGAAACAACCTTTCAATATCTATGTTTAGAATAGTCGTGGGCTGGATAGCCTGGTTAGTAGCAGGGCTAAAGAGAATGGAAGGGCTGGTTCACTCCTTTGAAGTATCTCTTGCCGCGCCGATCCTCCGACGTCACTCTAGTGACGTCACTTTGGCGCAAAGCTCGCACTTTTACTTCAAGAAAGGAGCGCTTGGCCTTACTAGCTCTAACTAATATTGGATCATTTCTTTTTGCGAGATATTCTAAGACATTTGTTATTTTCTATAATGACTTTCCTCAGTTTTTGCAGTGAATTTACAAGAATTTAAAACTATTATCGAAATGCCAGTTTGCGCGATTGCAACTTGCAAAAATTCTGATATAAAAACAAAAGGAAAAAGTATAATTTTTCGCGTGTTCCCTAAAGTAAATGAACAACTATGTAAAGAATGGATTCCGAAATGACACAGTTAATATAAAACAGCAATACGTTTATTCTGTCGTAAAGAACTTTTATAAAAATTCATTATCTAAATAGAAACCGCCTCGTTACTTCATAAAGAAAGGCAGGTGAAAAGAATTAAAAAATAGATAAAGTCAAAGAAAATTAAAATGTAAGTAAAAAGTATAAATAAAATATATAGTATATAGTTGAAATTCTCCTAATTTCATAACATATTTTTTAATGTAGTTATTCTAAATATTTATGATTTTTTTTAAAAATTATATTCTCTTCAATTTAAATATCTATAAATTATATCATCGTAAATTTAAATGTCTATAAACAATTGTAAAATTTCTAATGTCATTATGAACCTAAATTATTATTTTGTTTCAGTAATTAGCGTTTAAGGTTGATGTTTCCTAATGATTAAGTATGAACAAATTGCTATTAACGACATATTTTAAAATCAGGGATTCTAAATTTAACTTAACTTATCGTTATAAAAGAATATGTAGATAAAAAAAGTGTCGATATATGCCTTCATTTTTCTTAATAGTTAAAGTTAAAGATGAACTTTTTAAAATAAAGTATTTATCGTGTCATTTTCACCAACTAGCAAAACATTTTTATAAGTTTAAAATGGTATTTTTTTAATATAATAACCAAGAAAGTTTTTTTTAACCATGTTTATGAACGGAAATGATGTGTTAATTACGCAAAGTTTGAAGGCTAATAACCAGAAAAAGTTTAACTTATTTTTACAAAGTGAAAGATGCAAAGTTATCATATCTTTGCTTGCGATCGCCGAGATCTGTAGACACAGTGACGTCATGAGGAGGGAAATCGTAGCTTCAGCTCTAAGAGCGGAGTGAACTAGCCCTTGTATTCTCTTTAGCCCTGGGTTAGTAGGGCGTTGGGCTCATGTCCAATAGGTCGTGAGTTCGAACCCAGTCAGCCAAAGCCCGTGTAGTGAATAGTGACTGGTGCATGCTAAATCTATCTAGTGACTAAGTCCTCCATGTTCCCAGAGTAAATCATATATCTGAATCGGAATACAGATCAGATCAGTATTCCGATCATAATATTTTTTCAAAGTTATATTATTTAATTAATATTTTTTCAAAGAAAGTATTAGAACACTTTAAGAAACAAATAATATTTCGCATTATCGGGGATTTGCTTTTTAATATCTTGTATGTAATTCATTGGCCTTAATGACTGCCTCTAATCTTCGTGGCATGCGTTGTTACTATTTCTAAAATCCAACAGATGGCGCTCTGAGCAGCAATGTAAAAGTGAATTATAATTCAGAATGCTCTTTGACATTGTAGCAAAAGCATCATTCCTTTTTTTCCAGAGCTCAATTGACTTATTTCGATAGGTGAGAGCAAAACTCAAGTCCCTTTTTCCTATTAACTTCACTAATGAAAGGTTTTTTTTCTTCGCTTTCTATCCCGAAGACTACCCATACAGTAAAACTTGTGTATGTTGACCACTTGTGGCGCATTGTTTTAGTGGTCGACTTAGACAAGTGGTCAACTTATAGAGGGGGTATGTCATTGTTTACTTATTCGTTTCCTATATCATGTTGCTATATATTTCATTTTCTTTTTCTACTTGACTTAAAAATTTTATTCAGAAAATATGCAAATGATAACTCTTTAAAGACCGAAGCAGTGGAAATATAGACAGGTGGTCAAGCTACAACGGTTTATATTATATAGGAAAAATTCCGCTCTTGATAATTGAGGTCAACTTATGCAGGAGCCCAACTTACAAGGGTGGTCAACTTGGCAGGTTTCACTGTATCTAGAAAATTTCTTTTAAATTGTGGTGCCACTGATGTGCCAGAAGCTGACGTAAAGTCTTTGGCTAAAGTTTGAGCACTTTGAGTGAAATTTTCAGGGCCACTTCAGCAAAGTGCCTCATTTCCCTGTCAATTTCTGTAACGGGGTGACCATATCGGGGTTTATTTTTCATGGATCCTGTTGTTTCCACTTTTTTAATAGTGGAGGAAAATGTTGAAAAGCTAAATTTTACCTGCTTTCCAATATCTTGATAACTTTATCCTATTTCACGGAGACATATTATTTTTTCTCGAACGGAGCCTGGAATTTCACACTTCTTTGGACTTAATGAATACAGAAATTCAAGATAATAATGAACGTGACTTAATACTCGAGTCCAAGAACAAGTTTGGAATTAGTTTCAGTAAATGAATTCAAGCTTTTATTATTATCTCGTGAATACAATGAAATTCGGTTGTGCCTATTATTTATTTGTTTGTTTAAAAATAATATAAAATGTACTTTTTTCCTTTTAAATATTTTATTATTGTGCATTATGTGATAATGTTTTCTACAGAAAACTGAGTGCAATACAGTTTAATCAGTAAAGTTGAAATTTTTCGCTGCGCAAATACATAAAATGACATTGGTGTGTCAATATTTTTTTTGTCGACTGCGCATTAAGGGAAGTGTTTAACACACACTGTATATATTTAACTTAAGATACAAATTAAATTAAAAACTTTTATTAAATGGTTAAATTAATTATATTTTTTAATATTTTCAGGTCCCTTAACGAGTTTATACGGTCTCGAGGGAATGGCGTGGTTCAATTCAAAATATAACAATGCGAGTGTTGATTGGCCTGATTTGAATGCACCTCTATTAGGTTTCACTGATGCCAGTAACCCAGAAGAAGCAGTACAAGATGCAGTAAGACACATTAAAAAATATTGTCATTAAATCTGACGTTTTTGTATTATAAATATTGGAAACTTTCAAACGTTGGAGAAACTTATCTTAAATAATGATTTACTTTATGTGAATAAATTATATATTAGATGAAGTAGATTATACGAACTTATTCGACTTCGGGGTTTTCTCTTACAAAGAAAATGCAAAGAAGTTCCACCGCGAAGACAAGATTATTGCAATGCTTAATCCAGCATTTCATTGACTTCTTTGTTCGGTTAAAAAAATCCAAACTACAAATTTGATCACTGATAGCACATATACTAAAACTGTCTGATGTTCAAATTTGGTATTAAAACCAAATGAAATTCAAATCTTAGAAAAGAAATGAAAGTAACAGCCGAAAAAAAAGTAATGAATATTTAAATCTACTAAAATGTATAATAGTTTTAAAATGGAAAAAATATATAATACATAAATACTGATTAGTTATCATTATAATTTGAAAATTTAAAAATAAATACAAATTCATCATTTAAAAAATCTGCATCTTTTTTTTATTGCCTCAAAGAAAAATCCGAAATAACAGATACTCTTAGAAGTCAAAAAGGTAATTAGTAAGTGAAATTATGCAACTAATTACTGACTTTTGTGTTTAATTAGGAAAGTAAAGAATTTTTACACTCTTCTGAATGAATTTACAGCAAATTCAACTAAACAAAACTTTCATAATCTAATTTATTTCCGAAACTATGCCTGAAGATTTAAAGTAGCAAAATGAAATGAAATAAAAAAAATCTTTAATCAAGTGGAAGAAAAATTAAAACTATTTTTGTTGTAATTCAAAAAGTCTTATTTAACGCATTGACGAAGATGTATCATTATAATTATCTTCATTCGAAATTAAGCAGCATTAAATTGATTAATTAGAGACAATGAATGTGGTAGAAGTAATTGACATCAAATTATCTATTAATAGTTTAGTAAGAGAAAAATCTATCTACTATCTAAATTAAAATCCATTTACATCAAATAATGAAATAAATTGGAAAAAAAATTAATCGTGTAATAAAATTATTCTGTAATTGATGGTAATTTCGGAAATATAGCTTTACAACTGATCACAACTGATCCCGCAGTGGACTGATCGTAAAGACACGGTTCCCACTAGAATACCAAGCACCTGTGACTGAGGTCAGTAAGCGGTAGGATGACCACTTTAATCAGCCTGTGTAGAGACCGAGAGTGTTCGGTATCGGTCCACATTAAATTGTTCTACAGTAAAATGTTCGACTTCTCTCGCAGGTTGTCGGGTTGCGATAGTGAAGGAGCCATTCCCTCTGCAGAGGATTAAAATTGTGATGGCATTCTTCGGATCATCCTCAGGGATGTTTCAATAGCCTCAATAGCTCATTGCTACGAATCTAATTAGACGTAAAGAAATTAGCTGCCTACCTATTCCAGTCGACAATGCCGTCTTCTGATGTAATTCAAAACTGGATAAATTACACTATTTTTCTAAGTAAAGTGCAGCAAAGCGTACATTTCATTCTCCCATTTCCACTAATAATTTTTCGAATAGTCGGTCATTTTATGGTCACCCGAGTAAATTTTTAAGGTTATATAATCTAACTTAAATATTATAAACATATTTGTTTTCATTATTTTAATCCATGACAGATATATAACCAAGTTTTCAAACCATATGAAGGAAAAAATACATTCGGTTTTCTTCCCTGCTACCTTAGACCTAAAAGTAGAGGAACGGTTAGGTTGGCTTCCAAGAATCCCAGAGATGCGCCACTCATCGATCCAAACTTTTTCGACCACCCAGAGGATCTCGAAAGAGTAATAGAAGGTAAATACCATCGAAAGATTTTAAGAATATTTTGTAATAAGTTGTACCAATATCACGCATCGAGCAGATTTTTTGTAACAATTTATTTTTCTGTTGCATGAGATTTATTTTAAAAGATTTTAGATACTTCCGTATCTCTGGTTTCAAATATTCAATTCGTTTCACTCGCCATGCTACTATTTTTTTAGATTGACATTTTTATTAAACTCTTTGTCGAATGAACAAGCTAAGAACGTTATATATAATTGGAGATCCCAAAAATATTTTATAACCGCTGTTGAGCAGCCAACCAATTTTTGGGTTTACGACTAATTATGTTCAACTCCATAGCCTTGTAATTTTGAATCCGATCCAGAATCAAGCCGACTCCAGGATCAAGCATTGGTAGTTTTGCTTTTCTGGAGGATTTCTTGATGGAACTAACCCGCATTTACATTAAAAGAGAAGAAAACCACGAAAACCTCCCACGATTAGCCTGACGGCAAAGGGACTCTAACCCATAATCCGTCTATAACATTGAGAATGTTTTTACGTCAGTACTCTGGTTGATACGAGCTAGGTGGGGAATTCGTATCTACCAGCCAATGCTGATATTCAAACCCAGTTCAAATCATTGGAAAGTGGACTGTCTTCTCTTAGCTAATACGGCTCTTTCAAAAATATTGTGACTAATTTATAGGGGAGCACATCATCAGGTTGTTAGAGCACATCATCAGGATTAAAATTACATAAGAACAGATGCCCAAAAATGTCGTCATGTACCGCTACATCGGTAATATACCGCTAAACTATTTCTTCGTATGTTTCTAAACAGGTCATAATATAGAGGTGCCCCTAGCCGTGTAGAACAACATTTCCGGGCCCGGATTTTTGTGCGATTTCAATTCTGATGGTGTTCTCTTACTCCCTCTAAGTTTGTCGCAACAATTACGCGACCCCCTGTTACATATAATGTAATGTAATGTAAAAAAAATAAAACATAGACTGAATATGTCATTAAAGAGAATCTGCAGACTTAGAAGCAAAACTGCTTTTGGATTTGAAATCCCGACATCCGAATTATGCAGGATCAAGTATTTGCATAAATGCAACAAAAGATTTGTTCCCTAGTGTCATTTAATTCTGGCTGAGCAACGTCTTGACGCTACTCATTATTTATTTATTTTTATACATATATTATATTATATTGTTAATTTTCAGAATAAACCTGTAACTTAAAAGAGAGTTCTCTATCACCTTAAGAACTAGCACGGTAAAAATTACGATTAATCATAACCTTCTCAATAAAACCGAGAGATTTCTCTCATTGTCATACAATTCATACAGTTTAAAATTTACTTGATGTCATCTTATCCTGTTAAAGGTATATTGGATTCAAGGTCTTGACCTAGTGATGAACAATTTAAAAGTTTTGTCCATGTCAGGAGACAGAATGATTTCAAAACCTTGTCCTAGTTAATCCTTCATTTCCCTAATTGTAAAAAAAAAATTTAAAAATTTAAAAAAAAATTTAAAGCTGCTTAAAAGTAAGTAATGACTATTATACAATTTGACAAATATTTTTCTGATATTCAATATTATTTTCTAATTTTTTCACAAAACTTTAAATTTGGGACTCTAAAGTTCCATCGGGATTCATATAAAGCTAATAGAAATTATAAAATAAAAACATACAGAATAACAAAATACTTGTGTTCATATCTTTAATTTCTTAAGATCAAATAGAAATATTAAAATATAAACCACATTTATAATGAAAATTTTTGATTATTATGTGGAATTGCAGTTGCATATGTTTTTAACTTTTGTATTGAGGTGTGTCAAGATCGGATGGAATTTCAATCCAAGCAACTTTAACTTCAACTGTCAAGTTCAGCTGTCAAACCTTATCTTTTCTTGTACGCATCTCTTAAGTAATAAAATAATGAGTTTACATTAAAGAAATACATTGTACAGTAACTTAGTAGGGAAAGCAAATCCTTCCTAAATATTCTAATAAATGTAGCAAATAATGCAAAATAATGTAAAATAAGTCAACACTATTCTCAATACAATTTATGAACATTCATTGTATGAATGAAAAACCCATCTAAACTCTAAAGTCTCAAGAAAAGATCAACACATTATAATATTTTGATTTTAAGTTCAGCTTTTAGTACTTTGTTTTACGACTAGTTAAAAATGTTAATAAATTGATAAAAAATAGGAAAAATAATTGATCGAAACGGTAAGCTAAGACTGGAAAGATAGATCATGAAATATCGCCCTCGAACGAAAATTTCAACAACTAAATAGTTCCATAGACGATGTTCATATAATCATGTGCTGCCATCTAGTATTGATTATTGAAAATCATATTAATAGAAACATATAAACGCCAATAAGATATTTTGTTCTGTTTATGCTATATTAGATAGGAATTAAAAGTCCCGTCGATGATAAAGTGGTAAGATCAAATTAAAGGTCTTTTCCAACTGACTTTAAGATCAACATTGCGTAATGAAGGTAATGAAATCAGAAGGTGTTAAGTACCAGGCATGATGAAAAGGAAAGGGGAAATAAAGAAAGTTTGCAAAATTGCTTTAAGATAGAGAAGTCGGGGTTTATCCAAGTATACTATTCTTATAACTGCTATGAGTTTTCAACTGTTACTCATGCCTGTCTAGGCCAAGATTAGCTTATCTAAAGCCAGCGCTGTACCATAATTTTATTTTGAAAATGGCGCAAAACTTTAATATGGACAAAAGTCACAGTTTTGTGAAAATGAAAAGCGCTTCTGATTTATTTTCAAATATTTCAATATTTACTCCAACGCTGCATTACATGGGCTCATAAAAATTTGTGACAACTAAAAATAAGACAGTGATTTTGAAAATTTAAATCTAGTAGGAAATATGCCACCAAATTGGCGATTTTTAAAAAAGTAAAATGACTTTTAAAATAGTTAAGTTATTTGTCTGTTCTAAGGCAGAAATACTTTTTCACGGCAAGATTGCATATGTAGTTTAAAATCATAGCATAGCTTCTAGTTTAAAGCACTTAAACTATGGCTTTTTTATTTTCCTTGGCGACGGAGCTTCGAAAAACAGCGTTAAAAGAGAAAAAGTTCCAAAAACTATTCTAACAATAATAGAACTTAAGTCGATAGATCATCCATTTTAGGTCTTAGCAGTTGTAAGACCCACGATAAAATGTAACATATTTATGTTATTGTTTGGTGTTATTATTACCAATCTGTCTGTAATAACGCTAAATGAAGCATAATGCCCCGCACCTCATCTCTGATATACTGATTTTTTGATAAAACTTTTTACAACATTTAATCATGCTTGTAAAGGCTTCATTTAATATGTAATACTATTCACATGGCATGTTATAAACATATTCAAAAGCCAATTCTTTTTTTGCAGCTATGCAGTTTAGCGTAGATATAGTTACAAAGACCAATGCTTTCAGAAGGTTAGGAGCGAAAATGTTCACAACAAAATTTCCAGGATGCGAACAGTATGAAGCTAACAGTACTTACTATTCGACAGAATATTTGAGATGTTTTTCTGTGAAATATACTTATGGACACTACCATCCTGTAGGCACATGCAAAATGGGTCACATTCTAGATCGAACAGCAGTTTTGGATCCACAATTAAGGTATGATTAAATGTGTTTTTTTATCCCTTAAAATTGTTTATCGAAAGATTTGTTGCCAGCAGAAAAAAAATCAAAGAAACACTCGAAGCCTAAGTTTCTGTATCCACTACTGTTCAGCTTAAAAAGTGTTTTTCTCGAATCTCAAGATGGTCGGACTCATAAATTGGAGAAATGTTCACCGATTGTTTTCAAATTTGTGCTGTAATTTACAGCAACATTTTTTACAGAAATACGTACGACTTTTTCATTTTATTGCCTAGCTTTCTTTTATAATTTTTTTTTTCTTTTTTCTCTTTCTTACCTTCTTTGCTGGAAATTTTGAATGATTGAAAAGCAAGTACTTTTTGCCCCAAAAAGTTTTAGGCAGGTACAGAACTATTACGTTCTTCGCCAAGGAAGACGTCGGGAGTGTTGCTCATTTAGCGTTACTCGGTGGGTAACTCTGAACCAAAGTCACGGTGACGAACAATATTACCTACGCCAAAGAAAACCTTTTGTTAGGTGGATCACTTTCACAGATCACACGACAGAGGACAAGCACACCCACACAGAGAGATAAATGTCCCGTGACCATTAGAAAGAATTTTTAGGCTGGCACTGAACTATTACGTTCTTCGCCAAGGAAGATGTCGGGAGTGTTGCTCATTTAACGTTACTCGGTGGGTAACTCTGAACTAAAGTCACGGTGACGAACAATAATACCCACACCAAAGAAAACCTTTTGTTGGGTGGATCACATTCACAGATCACACGACGGAAGACAAGCACACACACACAAAGAGATAAATGCCTCGAGACCATTAAAGAGAATTTTCAGGCTGGCACTGAACTATTACGTTCTTCGCCAAGGAAGATGTCGGGAGCGTTGCTCATTTAACGTTACTCGGTGGGTAACTCTACACCTAAGTCACGGAGACGAATAACATTTCCAACGCCAGAGAAAACATTTTGTAGGGTGGACCACATTCACAGATCACACGACAGATGACAAGCACACACAGAGATACATGCTCCGAGACCATTAGAGAGAATCGTTGAAAATAATCCTACTAACTTCTCAATCTATAATCTTCATTCTAACATAAAAATTGTTAGTACTATGATGCAGGCAAACATATTTAAGAAAGATAGACTTTATCACAGAAATTCAACCGTGAATTTGCCTAGTGCATAATTGCAAAAATTTGTTTTTATAATTCAATAGTTGTGTAATGTAGGACATTATGCAGAATATTAATTTATTTCAAATATTTTGATGGAAAAAAAATGACAGAAACATGCTTATCTTTTTTTAAGGAGGGGCTCTTTTTCGTTAGCCAATTGTGTTTCATGGTAATTGCATTTTCATCTGAATAGTGGATAAATAGTTAAGATTACGAAATTCCTAATTTCATTAGTTACAATACAATAAATATCTTGATTGTACAGTATCTTAATTTTTATTTTTTATTTTAACAGGGTGAAAGGAATCAAAAATCTCCGAGTGGTTGATGGATCTATCATGCCTGTTATTGTGGGTGGAAATACTAACGCTCCAATCATAATGATTGGTGAAAAGGCATCTGATATGATTAAACAAGACAATCCGGATAGATTCACTTGTTAATTAAAGCAATCCATAGGAGAAAATTTTTGATTTTCAAATATTTATGTATATTTAAAAAATTAGTATTTAAATAATAGTTATACAAATTTTCGTAATCAATAAAATAAAAATATTTTCGTTCAGTTTTTGCATTTTTCTTGTTTAATTCAGCGCATAAATTTTTTAAGAACAATATTTTGTCATTAGAACGACTGAGTTCTTTTACCTACTTATAACCTTAGTTATGGTCCGAAAAAGTAATGAAATTTTAAAAAATCAGAATGGAAAAAAATTTAAAAAACTGTTAAATTTTTTTTCGGCGAATCAAATGCATGCATTAAAAGATTTTTTTAACCGATATACCAGTTTGCTAAACTGAAAGTAAAAAACTGTATAAACTTCACCAACCTGCTGACCACTTCGTTTTTTTCCATAAATTTAGTTCAGCGACAAAATTTAATAGCGTTGAATATCAGTGTCCAAGGACAAAAATGATCATTTTTAGGATATCCTTTATCGAAAGTAAGATTTAAGTTTTCCTATTAATTTCAGCACAATTTTTTTTCAAATTTTGAATAGAGTAAATTAGTGTTTTTAGTGTTAAAAAAGCTTATTTTATTAAACTTACAGAAAGTAATTCTAAAGCTGCTTCAATATAACGTAACTAAAATTGTGTTGTATTTTTTTCACAATTTAGGAAGTGCTTCTTTATTAAGTAAAAAAGTATGCAATTATTAATATAATAATGCTCATATATTACTACATTTGTCTAAAAATGAAAGTAATATTTTAGAATTAATCAATATCTCAAATATTTATGAATAAATTACAAACCACGAATAGATTCTTATTTTATACCTTTTCCGACCTAGCAGATACAGATGGATGTTTAATTAAAAAAATAAAATATCTTTAATCGCAGTATGTGAAAAACTATAAATCGTAATTAAAATGATTCAATTTGGCTTTAAAATCTCTTTAGCTAATATCAAATTCAAAGGTAAAGTGCAATAAAGTTTAATTTTCTCGACGATACTATTAAACTTAGCAACATATTAAAATGGGATCAAATGGTGTGAAGTTGCTCTACATTCTACTACGTCTTAAAATATATAATGGTGAATGCTTACGTTTTTTGAATGAATACGCACTTATTCTACTATGTCCTAAAATTTCCAACAGTGAATGCTTAGGCTTTTGTGTGAATACGCTCTTGTTTAATTACGCCCTATAATTTCAAATTGTGAAGGCATACTCTTATACGTTAATACGCTCTAGTTCAGGGATGGCGAACCATTGGCATGCGTGCCATTTATGGCACGAGATACAATATTTTGGGCACGCCACCGATCACAATTGTTATTACAATAAGAACAATAGATAACTAGCAAAAAAAATTAACAGTCCTGCTTAAACTAACATCTTACAACCTAATATAAGTTATTTGTCATCTAATCTATCTAAATATAGAAATCACACTGAAGTTACTTTAAGTTGTTATGTCTTTTTTATTGTAAATAAAGAGTTTTGAGTTGATAGTATTTAGTATTATTATTTCCCCAGTAATCACGAAGTCAAAATTTTTTAACGGCACGACTATGACCTCATTAAACATTTTTTTAGAAAAAATGGCACGTTGGTGTGTAAAGGTTCGCCACCCCTGCTCTAGTTCAACTATGTCCAAAAACTTCTAACTGTGAATGCATAAACTTTTGTATGCCTACACTATTTTTTCTATTACGGCCCAAATGTTTCAAATAGTGAATGCATACTATTTTGTGTGAATGCATACTATTTTTTGTGAATACGTTCTTGTTCTACTACGTCCTAAAATTTCCAACAGTGAATGCTTAGGCTTTTGTGTGAATACGCTCTTGTTTAATTACGTCCTATAATTTCAAATAGTGAAGGCATACTCTTATACGTTAATACGCTCTAGTTCCACTATGTCCAAAAACTTCTAGCAGTGAATGCATAAATTTTCGTATGCATACGCTATTTTTTAATACGGCCCAAATGCTTCAAATAGTGAATGCATACTATTTTGTGTGAATACATACTATTTTGTGTGAATACATTCTTGTTCTACTACATCCTAAAATTTCCAATAGTGAACGCTTATGCTTTTGTGTAAATACGCTCTTGTTTAATTACATCATATATTTTCAAATAGTGAAGGCATACTCTTATACCTTAATACGCTCTAGTTCAACTATGTCCAAAAACTTCTAACAGTGAATGCATAAAATTTTGTATGCATACGCTATTTTTTACGGCCCAAATGTTTCAAATAGTGAATGCGTACTATTTTGTGTGAATGCATACTATTTTGTGTGAATACATTCTTTGTCTACTGCATCCTAAAATTTCCAATAGTGAATGCTTTGGCTTTTATATGAATACGCTCTTGTTTCGTTACGTCCTAAAATTTGAAATAGCGTATGCATACTCTTTTGTGTGAATACACTCTTAGTTCTATTATGCTCTAAAACTAAATTTCTAATAGTGAATGCTTATGCTTTTGTGTGCATACGCTTTTGCCAAATGCTTATGCTTTTTTATTTCAAATATATTACTTTATACTTAAAAAATAATAAAACCGAAAAATTCTTGAAAAAAAGCTGAAATACATAAATAAGTGGATTTAAAAATGTATTTACCAAACCCCACACTATAAAAGAAAAATTTCCATTATTTTCAGGATTTTTTCTGTAGCCATATTCGCGTAAATCAATCATCAAGGTTGAATATGTTGTTTACTGTTGAATGTTTTTATATTATCTATTTAAAATACACAACTTTTTTTTCTCCCATATCTTCTGTCTAACAATATTTCTTCCAGCCCTATTCTTTCAAATATTTATTATACAAAAGAAATCGTCATAACTTTACAGCAAGGTCGTTTGTACACGGAGGAGAATTTCTTTACCCAGCTGCTTCAGATGTCTTACATCACAAAGATCAACAACCTAACTTCATCTTGCTTATAATAATGTAAAAATCATTCAATTTAATTTTAAAAAATCATTCAGTTTAATTGTAAAAAATCATTCAGTTTAATTTTAAACATGATCTTAAAGGATATATAAACGCTTCCGTTTGTCTATTTTTGAAACAGAAGGCATATCTTTAGCTTAAAAATTTAATATGGGATTTGTTTCGTATTCTGTTGCCTTGATTTTGCCTTTTATAGTTTCATTAGGAGATTATAACCCTAAAGTTTCTCAAAGTTTCCGCCTTTCTTACGACTACATAGTAGGTAAGTGTACTCGATCTTTTTTTTTTTGTAAAGTAAGGAAGATTATTTACAAGAGAAATGTGAAATATTTATTTTGAATCAATTGAGTAATAGGCTGTACCAGATAATATAAGCAACTGGTCGGCAGTAGCATACTACAAATAGTGAAACTATTGTAATCACTACTTTTTTTCATAGTTTGTAATTTAGTGTGCTACTTTATTAAAAAAAGTAGTGTAGTAAGTAGAGCGATACAATAAAAAACAGTAGTTCGTAGTGGCTCCTGGCAACTACTTTTTTTTTATAGTTTGTAATTTAGTGTGCTACTTTATTAAAAAAGTAGTGTAGTAAGTAGAGTGATACATTAAAAAACAGTAGTTCGTATTGGTTCCTGGCAACTACTTTTTACATATAGTTTAGAAAAGAAACAGGGTTCTAACACAATTCATTTTTTGAGTTTGATGGGTACAAATCTTCTCTGGTCCGTAAATGGATGCAGTTTAAAATGCTTCTGTGACTGTGAGTTTGCACAGTCACAGACACAGGAATTGCATAATTGTAATCACGGACAAATAATAGATTACAAATAATAGAATTACAAATAATAGATGAACTATCACTTCGGTTGCACTTGATGATTTTTTGTGTGAATGATTTTTTTTTTGGTACATTGATTTTATTCCAAAAGAAGAAAGCAAAATTTCGATGTACATAATTTCTTAGAAGAACTAAAAGAGCATTAAAAACGTATAAATAAATATTTCTAAATAATTCTTCATGTTTAATATAAACTACTTTTTTTTTATTTAAAACCATTGTGAACATAATATGTAAATAATTTCTCCTGCAGTTTAAATTATAGAAGTGTAAATTAATTTCTCCAGCAAAGCTCGGTTCTTTAAAATAGGGAAATAGTCACTACATTTTGAAAGTAGTTTGTAGTCACTATATTTATTGAAAAATAGTTGTAGTTAACTACATTTGTAGCAAAGCAGTTATAGTAAGCTACAAAAATAATGCAGTTTTTACGACCACTGGTGTAAACATTAATTTTTTTTGTTAGCTAAAAAGGTGAAAATTTGACATAAAATTTGTAATTCGTGAAAAAATATTAGTGTCTTCATATTTAATCCCCTTTTATAGCTTATAAAGCAAATGAAGTGTTTACATACTACATCACCAAGTACATCTTTCTCCTTTAGTTTTTATGGATTATTCAATTCAGTAATAAACTAGCTTTTAAGCAGTTGAATAATAAATAATATAAAGCAAATGGAGTGTTTACATCATAAAGTATATCTTTCTCCTTTAGTTTTTATGGATTATTCAATTCAGTAATAGACTAGCTTTTAAACAGTTGAATAATAAATAATGTAAAGCAAATGAAATGTTTACATCACCAAGTATATATTTCTCCTTTAGTTTTTATGGAATATTCATTTCAATAATAGACTAACTTTTAAGTAATTGAATACTGATGTAATAAGTAGAAAAGCTGAAAACTGTTTTCAAAGTTGTGGTTTAGAACCCTTTTCGTTGTCTTAAGTTTACTTCATTTCCAAGAAGTGCTTTAGTCACCATCTAGAAATTTATTGAAGGGGCTTAACACAAGGAAGTAAAACTTAAGCATTGCTATCTAGACAAGTTAGGTATTGTTTAGGCTAAATTTTTATACTGAATTGAATGACACCAAACACAGGTAATAGAACTAATATATCAGAAGTTGTAAAAAAGATATTAACCTGTCTGATTTTAAACGAAATAGATTGACACAATTTAGGAATAAATTTCTGATGTATCTTGTATGTAGAAAATTTACACTACACTACAACAATGCAAGAGTAATTTTTAATTTTTGGCAGTTAAAACTTTTTAAAGAAAAACTTAAAAATTATTATGCAAGTTTAAAAATGTTTAGAGCATGCAATTTCTCATATTGGACAATTTTTATAAATTCATATAAGACATTTTTTTTCTGTTTCTCTTTTTTTTTCTATCAGCGTTTTTATTACAACAACTTTTTTTAAAGAGTGTTTCCAATGAACGTTTTTCTCTTATGGTCACTTTTTCTGAAAATACGCCAGTATTAAAAAGTTGCATTTAGATTTTTGGCTTTAAATCTTTCATTTAAAATTAAGAATGATTTCTGTTTTGGTTTCTATCAAGCTTTTTCTTTTTCAAGAAAACTTATGTTTTTATAGACGTTTCTAGTATGACGAGGCAATTAAGATTGCTTCTAATATAGACTTTGATCGTTTTTCTTTCTCAAAAATTCAGTGATTAGAAAACTGAAATATTTAGCTTTAAAATTTTCTTTCAAAAATAAATTTCGATTTTTACTTTTTTTGTTTTGCTTTTGTATATATCCTTTATTTTTTATAGGCGTTTTTATGATAGAGCTGTATTTTAAATGCGTTTCTGATAGACATTATCTTCTTTAATGTCTTATAGATAATTTTCTTTTGCGGAAAATAATATTTTTAGCATGAAAGCTTTTTCTTTGTTTTAAAAATTAAGTGGGTTTTTTTTCCATTTGTACTTTTTTCTATCCCTACTCTTACAACTTGAGTTTTTTTTCAATAGCTGTTAGCCAGTTTTTTCCCTTAACTGTTCTAATTAACTTAATATCTAATTATCTTCATTATATTAAATATTTCCATAAAAAAATTCCTTTAATCTATACTGCCAAGTTTTTATTATTTTTCTGCAATGACTAAGCTTATTTCTGTGTAAAAAATAATACTTACCAATGATTTTTTTAAACAAAACTGTTGCTTTTCGGCCACTAAATATTCGGTATTCAGCTATTCGGCCAAACCAATATTCGTTACATTCCTAATAAGCTGCAACTTTCATCGATAACTTTGTTTGTCATTTAAAATAATCGGATAAAATTTCAAACACTTGAATATTAATGGAGAGATAGATGAACTTTTTTTTATAAAAAAATATATATAATGTTTTTGTCTTTTTGATATAACTTAAAAAATATTCAATAAAATTAAACTAAATTTTTGGAGAAATTTTTAATTAATTACAATATTATTGTTTTAAAATTTGAAAAAAAAAAACTAGATGAAAATTGCTTACGATATGCAGATTTAAAGCCGTTCCTCCATTCATGGAAAATGTAATTTTTAACACACATTTTGTAGTGAATAGTATTTAGTAATTTATGAAAAAAGCCATATTTGAATATCGCGAAAATTTAAAAAGTTCCTAACAATTTTCTATGTAGTTTTTGTTCTTTTTAAGAGAAAGCTCTAAATGATATGGGGTTTTTCCCAAATTTTATTTTGCATTGTAATATAAAATTTAATAACGAAGGATAATACCTAAAAATAATCATGCAATAAAATGTGATGTATAAGGAAAAAATAACGTAAAGGAAAGCACATTTTTATGAAGAATGATCCCCCATAATGCCGGTGCCATTTTTAGTAAATTTTTTTAATAGTAAAATATGTAAAAAAAAAACACTTATCATTCAGAGTTTTCTTTAAAAAATTGCAAAATTTATTTCAATAATTTCTAGAAGCTTTTCCGATTTTAAAGATATTGAAATCGTCCTTTTTTCATTAGTTTTGAAATATTGTTTATTAAATAAGTATGAATAAAGAATTTACATTTTCTTCCCGCATACGTAGTATAAAACAAATTATTTTAAATGCTCATATCTAGCACAATTTTTAATGAATTTTTTTTTTAATTTTTAAAAGTAATTTTTTTATTAATTGAAAAATGCTCCAGCAATTCTGTTAAATTTTACTGAATATTTTTAAACTTACAGAAGAAAAACGCAAATAAAAAAAATAATTTTTAAAAAAAATATAAATATATTCGTGAATATTTAAGCTAAATTTACACAATTTTTCAAATAAAACCCAAAATTATAGAGATCAGCTTATTGCTAAATGTTTTGGCATAGTGTGTTCACAAATACTTGTTTTAGTTCGTAATTCATTACCGGTCCCTCAAACTTCTGAAAGACGACGAATGTGAAGGTTGACGAGTGGAAGAAATCGCATGATCTAAACACTTCTAAAATTAATAATCTTCTTTCCATTTCTTGAGAAATGACAAAAACAGGAAGCGTCCATTACATTATTATAGAGTAGTGAAACTCAATTGGAAATCATTATCCTTCGTACTATGTTTAGCCGGTATAACATCTTCAACATGAAAAAAGCAAAACATGTTAACTGATATATTTTTTTTAGCAGTCAATTCCCCTTCTGTGTAATAAGAAACAGGATTTACGCTGCATAAGAGATGATAGTAGCTTTGTACTGTGGCTTTCCCTTTTAAAGGTTGGATGACGCCTCGTAAGTTTAGGTTTTTGTAAGGAAAAGGAATTCAGAGCAATGATCGAAGTTCTGGAGTTGGTAACGGAACACCATGCATATTTTTAAACTATAATTCCCTTCTTAAGGTTGGACGTCTCTTTTGCATTAACTCAATACGGTGACCAAAGATGAATATTAATTTGAATATTCATCTTACAAGGGAAACTAAGGAAGTGTGACTCGCCAATTTTGAAATAAACTAGTGGGATGTATGCCTTATGAGGAATAATTTTAGGGGGAAACATTCGTTTCGGCCCATAGAAGGTTCTGTGAGAGATAAAAAATAATTAAATATATAGACAAATCGGTATTTTATTGTTTTAATGCAGACTATTAGTTATTGTAATTGTCTTATACTCTAATTAATTTTGTGGTACTTTCACGTACTATATAATGCATATTTATTGTCAAAATTGATTTCGAAAATTTTACATATCTGCAGTTTTTCAGAAAAATCTGTTAGGTTAATTTAAAAAAAAAATTTGACATCAAATGTTTTAAATTTTTTTTCCAAAAAACTTTCCAAATTAATTGGAGTATTTAATTGCAAATCAGTTAATTATTAATAATTAATTAACAATTAATTAATAATTAATTTTCTGATTAATTTATTAATTAGCAAATTAATTAATTATCCAATTAATTACAAATTAATTGGATTATGAGACAATTACAATAACTAATAGTCTGCATTGAAGTAATAAAATACCGATTTTTCTATATATTGAATTATTTTTTATCTCTCACAGGACCTTCTATGGGCCGAAACGAATGTTGCCCCCTAAAATTATTCCTCATAAGGCATACATCCCACCAGTTTAGTTCAAAATTGGCGAGTCACACTTCCCTAGTTTCCCTTGTTAGATATTCAAATTAATATCTAATTTGAATAAGATGAATATTAATTTAGTGTAAATAAATGTAAGTATGCAACTTCTTCAGTTTTGTATTAAGCTATTAATCAGATTACTGTAAGAGGGCATTTCATTTTAGTTGGTGCTGGTTCAGCGGGTTCTGTTGTTGCTTCTCGTCTTTCTGAAGACTCCTGTGTGACTGTCCTCTTGCTTGAGGCCGGTCCTAAAGCAAGCTCTATAACTGAACTACCCGCTCTAAGCATAGCGTCTCAACGTAAGGAAAATGACTGGTCATACAAGACTGTTCCACAGAAAAGAGGTGCCTTGGGCTATAACAACAGGGTAACTTTAGTGCATTGGTAAACTAATCAACTTATTCATGCCGATTTTATGCAGTTTCATATTCAACTATTTTCGAAATTTCATTTACTTCTTTATTACATAAAATTTCTTAAAGATCAATACTATAACTAGAAAATTATTTTTAAGTTAGCTTATGGACAACGTTTCTGGTAAAATAGAGGAAACCATAATATAAGATAACCATAACATTTAGATAACCCTAATCATAAACACACCAGGTAAACTATGTGAACTGATTAGAAGTGTTTCTTTATTCAACTATGAACAAAGGCTAAGCGTTTTTAACTGTAGGAATTGATTTCAAAAAACTGTCAAAATTATTCTAAAAATAAGCTAGTTAAGTCTTCTCTGTTCCAAAATTGTCGTCCGTTTCCTTATGAAAGAAAATTTCTAGTTAGAAAAATGCTAGTCTCAATTTTGCTTTCAATTTTGCAATTCAACTTTTTACACAGTTTTTATAGAGTCAAGTTATTAGTCAATATTTTTGCTGGTTGAATATTAAAGAAATTGTTCAACATTCCTAATCGCTTTTCATTTTTGAAATTTTCATTTATTTATTTATTATTATTTTTTTACAAAAACTGTACTTTTTTATCAATATTTTCTAAAGTTTCCTTTACTGATGAAATAGTAAAATTCAGAATCTTTTCCATTCTTTTTTTTTTTTTTACTAAGAAAGTTTTTGTTTACTGACAACGCACAATTTCATGTACACCAGAATCAATTTTAGGCTTTATTGCAAAAACATTTTATTTAAATGACAAGGACATTTTTTGCAATATATTTGCTCCATATTCTCATATTATTATATTTCATACTCCCTTAAACAATTGTTATTTTGTCACTTTTATGCAATTTTTTGCACAATAACTGCAGTTATGTACTTAAAAATGTATTTAGTTTCCTTCAACACCAAAAATGGTGGAAAACTGTACACCAAATGATATAGTGTCCATACAGATATGCAAATTTGCATTTAATTCTCAATTGTATGTATAGTACATTTGTGTATGTAAGCAAAAATATACATGAAAAATAAGCAAACTGAGACAGTTTTGCTTTGCTGTAACATTCATTTATCTTTTAACTGTCATGCCTTAACTAATCTAGGGCAGAGCACTGGTGCTCCAAGATGCCATGCCCGAATATTACTCGGGTTATTTATTTGTTTATTTTAAGTGCATCGTGTTGTAATACTCGAATATATATCGGGAGAAGTTTATTTCAGCTCAATCTCTTTTTCAAACCCGAATCTATCTCGGGAAAAGTCAATTTAGATGCAATTTATACCAACAGATGGCAGCAGACCGATTTAATGAAGGTTTCAAAGGATGGAGGTTCAAAGTGAGCTACATTTTTTTGTGGCAAAATAGCTTCAGGTTCTTTGAAACGTTATATCGGCGATTAATTTTTTTAGAAAATAATAAAATAAATTTTTTTTTTTTAATTTTTAGAAAATAATGTTCTTTTTGAAGCAAACTCTACCACTGCAGCACTGAGGGTCAACCGCCTCAACGGAATAGCCAGTGGCTACAAAGCCTTAAATTTTTTGTGCATGTAATTAAAGTTATAAATTTTTAACTGCTAACTATATTTTGTTTTGTGCTAAAAGTTTAATTTTCGATATAAGAAAAATTACAATTTATATAACAAATCATCAAAATCACTATGTACATTTTTATGTAAAAGACGTCAAATTTGACTATTCATTTGCATGAGCATTAAAATATTATTTGAAATAAATATTCAGAGTTGTATGCATTTGAAAATGCCGTTATAAGGAATCTATTATAATTCTTACAAGAAAATTAAATTGTTTCATTTCTATCATTCCTATATATGAAATATGCGATAATATACAAGGAAACTATGTAACCCTTCCATACTAGGCTTTTTATAATGAATTGTAAAATTTGGTTATAGGTAAAATAATGAAGTGTACGGAGAAAAACTTTCTGGTATACTTACCAGACTGTATAAAAATTACATTTTTGACAACAACAACAAAAAAAAACATTATTCAGGTTAATAAAATTAAAGCACATTGTAACGAATTAGCGGAAATTCTTGTTTTCAAAATTATAGTTCTTATTACCACATATTTAGTAAAAAATACAACACTGAAAAGTAAATTTAACTGAATAAATGTTTTGAAAAACCAGTAAGTAAATTTAACAGAATAAATGCATGTTCTACAAACTTTAACTCATTTACCAAATTTCAACACATATTTTAAACAATATTTTGTAGCTGATTTTTCCGAAATCATTACCAAAGTGGCCAGAAACTTGGTAAATTTTACCATATTCTGGTGGTTTTGAACCATATTTTGAGATAACACTCATTATCCTTACACAGTAAATTAAAAATGTAACTGGTTTTTTAAAAATGCATCAGTACGTTTAATGCTCTGAATATTTTAGCAAATTAACACTCCAAGAGGAAAAGGATTAGGTGGTTCAAGTATCCTTAATTACATGCTGTATGTGAGAGGGAACCATAGAGATTATGACCACTGGTCAGAAGAAGGAGCAACTGGATGGTCATGGAAAGACGTTTATCCTTATTTTCTTAAATCCGAAAACAATACTAATCAGGAATTTGTAAAGGACGGTAAGTAACGCTTTTTTTGTACTTTAAAAAATGAAACGAAAGAAAAAAATATACATCTAAACATATGAATTTAACCGGTCGGGATAGCCTGGTTGGTAGGGCACTGGACTCACTTTCGTGAGATAGAGAATTTAAAAATTCCCCGTGTAAGACTGTTGCTCGTTAAATCTGTTGGGTCACAAAGTCTTCCATGTTCCTATGAGAAATTATACCTCTTGGGGTACTGAATTGGAGATTGATCATTCTCTGATTCAGGTGAAAATTACGATCTGTGGATGAATGTATGAATGGGTTCACCATACAAACTGTCGTGACGTATGGGTGTGGCAGAAGTTGAATTCTTGGCAATAGCTGGCGAAAATGGAAAACAAGATCAATCTCCTTAGCCTCAATCTCCTTAGCTATGGCGAGTCTCGATGACTCAGGGAATAGGGCGTTCGCTTTCCAATGCGGCGAACCGGATTCGAATCCCAGTCGATACGAATTCCGCATCCAGCTTGCACCAACCACAGTGAAGACGTGAAATATCCTCAATGGTGGACGGATCATGGGTTAGAGTCCCCTTGCAGTCAGGCTAACCGAGGCAGTTTCTCATGGTCTTCCTCTCCATGTAACGCAAATGCGGGTTAGCTCCATCAAAAAGCCCTCCACAAGGGCAAATTTCTCCCAATACTTGATCCAGGAGTTCCCTTGTCTTCTGGATTGGGTTAAAAATTACAAGACTACGGAATTAAACATTAATAATCGTAAACCCATTAAATTGGGTCTGCTGTTCAACGACGGTTATAAAATTAAATAAAATGGCCTACGACTATAACAACAACAACAACGAATTTAACATACGCTTAGAGAATATAAAACTAATGTCTTGTCATTTTTAACATTAACAAAACAAAGAAATATCTTTTCCACCTCAAGCAAAATCAAAAAGTGAAGGCTAAATAGTTTGTAAGCCATTTTATATGATAAGGGTTAAACAATTCTTTGTGTTAATATTAATGAACATTTTATTCATTTAATGTTTTAAAACTTTTTATAGTTTTGGCTACAAAGCGAATTTCTTATGACAGTATTCAAGACAAAAACATAAATATCATTTTTAACACTTCAAGTTTGCCTACTTTAATCAAATTAAGATTTGTGGGATAAAATATTACAAGAACAATAAATAAGAAGATTTGTAATAATAAGAAAAGTATCTGTGTCATAGCTGATTCGGTGAAGACAGTTTAATGAAATTCAATTTAAATTTACTATCAATTCTTTTAAACTTACAAGTATGTTTCATGAAAAATAACATAAATGCCATACTTATAAAATCAATAAAATATTAAATAGCTTATAAAATAATATTTTTTTTTATAATATTTTAAATAGTTTCTTTCCGATTTTTTTAAAAGATTTTAATTAAGCAGAAACATAACAAAAAAATTGAGATAAAAAACTATGAAATTCCTAAAATTGATGCAAAATATATAATAATCTAGTTCCTTGAAAGATGTTTGATTTAATAATGTATTAAAGGTAATTTATTTTTTTTAAATAATTACCAATACTTTAAAACATTTTAACTTACACAAAGTACATATTTCGATGATGTTAATTGTACAATACTTAACAGGTTATCATAGCAAAGATGGCTATCTTACTGTTGAAGATCTACAGTACTCAAGCGAGTTAATTGATGCTTTTGCCCAAGCAGCACCCGAACGTGGATATAAATATCGAGATATAAATGGCGCTAAACAAACTGGTAATATGCATTTTTGTCTAATTATGCTAAGCAAACTAATATGCATTTTTGTTTATTTGTAATAAACAAATTAGTATGTATTTTTATCGAATTATGTTCAACTGACTGGAACGCATTTTTATTTAATTGTGCCAAACAAACTAGTGTGTCTTAACTAGTGTATTCTTAAGTTGCTGTCTCATCAACAAACAACTTAAGAATTCAAGAGGAATGCGGTTTGGTCCCTCTGGAAGAAAGGAGACAAATGTTAACTGTTAAATTTACAAATAATGCCCATAGTCTTGACGAGGGGCACATTTCACATCGTACTATTATAAACTGGAATAAGAAATCTAGACTCAAAAGGTCATCTCCCCTTCTGTTTGACAGGGCCATCAGAGAAAAAATTCACCTTAAACCCGAAGACTGTCTTATCAGAAACGAAACTCCCGCTATTGGAGTTGTTCCAGAGAATACGACAATCTGTCTAGAACTCATCGAGCCCTGCTCGAAAAAAGACCATGCGAATAAACTCAAGGAAATTGGGATGAAAACTATCGACTCTCTATCTGGCCTCAATCATGTCAGGGCTTTTACTGATGGATCTTCTGACTCCACCTTCACCAACGGAGGTGCGGGAGTGGTACTGCTCCTTCCTGATGATCAAAGACGAGAATTCGCAACTGGTGCTGGAAAAATCGCATCTAATTTTACAGCAGAATTGATAGCCATTTCTACGGCTATCGAAACGTACATCAATCTTGAACCTTCGGAGCAGCTTAGTGGTATCACCATCTTCAGCGACTGCAGGTCTGCCTTACAGGCCCTCAGCAAAGGTACCTCAAGCCTTGTCCTGAATATCATAGAACAACTTGGACAACTTCAGCGCCTCCGGAAAAATTGCTTCTTGCAGTGGATTCCCGCCCATGTGAACCTAGAGTTTAATGAAATAGCTGATTCCTTGGCTAAAAATGCCAGAGATCTAAATCAAAACTCAATCCCAACCACGTTGGCAGATGCAAATGCTTATGCAAAATCAAGACTATTCACCCCTTTAAAAATCAAAGCCCACGATCAAATAACTAATCTTGACATCGATAGGAAGACAGCCACTACTCTCATCAGACTAAGAACAAAACATCATAAAAACATGAAAATTTCTACAGATAAGACTAGAAAATATCAAAACTGTGGCAACTGTCTTAATGTGGAACTGACACCATATCATGTTTTTAACTGCCCTGCAGTCGCTGCAGGCCTTCACCTCTTAAACTACCCCACAGAAGAGGATTTGTATTCTTTTAATGCCATAGAAATAACAAAAACTATTCAAGCACACCATGAAATATGATTCAATAGAGGATACGACACCAACCAACCAACTAGTGTTTATTTTTATCTAATTGTGCTATACAAATTGAAATGTATTTTTATCTAATTATGCTAGGCAAACTAATATGCATTTTTGTCTATTTGTTCTAAACAAATTGATATGTATTTTTATCGAATTATGTTCAACATAATAGTATGCCTTTTTATCTAATTGTGCTATACAAATTGAAATGCATTTTTATCTAACTATGCTAAGCAAACTAGTATGCATTTTTGTTTATTTGTACTAAACAAATTGGTATGTATTTTTATCTAATTATGTTCAACAAACGGGTAAGCATTTTTATTTAATTTTGCTAAACAAACTGGTGTGCATTTTTATCTAATTGTGCTAAAAAAAACTGGTGTGCATTTTTATCTAACTGTGATAAGCAAAGTGGTTTAAATTTTTATCTAATCATATTAATCAAGCTGTCATGCATTTTTGTTTAGAAATTCTCCTTGATAAATATACACTTCAAAAAAGACTTGGATTTTGGATTCCTTTGATTTTTTTACTGCTGTAGAGTTTCAATATAGCATGGAGCTCCTATAACCTAATTTATCACGTTTATTCAGTCTTGGCTTTATTCAGTCGGTTTTTATAGGACTACATACTTGTGTCCAAATCTAAAGCTCCAAAGCTCTTCAATTTTAAGCTGAATTCCAGAAACCAAGAAAACGTCTGTATTAAGTATTCAGACAATCTCGCTTAAACAATCATTTACCACAAGTATATTAAATAGCTACCACCCCTTGCTCGACCCGAGCTTAGGTACCACATTTTGAAAGTAAAACGCTAAAACTATTTGGATTTTTTTTTCGTATTCCTTATATTTTATCGAATGTTTGATCGAAATCAAAAAGTAAAAGATTCATGAACAGAGACCAAAAAAAATACGTTTTGAATTACAGTCAGTCTATGTTAAGAACTCCTCTCGCCCTTCGTTTGAGTCTTTGGCGGTGACTATGGTTGACAGGCTTAACTATGTCATATAGGGATGTTAGGTCAATAAAGACGCGTTTTGGATACGGCCGGTGAAAAAAAAAAGGAATCAGGAATAAACGAAACTCCCTTCTTTGATATGCACTATTTCTTGTTTCTAACTCATCAGACGGCTTTACACTTTGTGACAAGGGGAGATTAAATTAAAGGACTTTAGGTTGCAATTATAACCAGGTTATATAGTTGGTGACTGTATACTGCTCTGAACAAAAATTATTTTGATCAGTTTTTCATTTTAAAAATTAAATTCAACAATTATGCATGGAGGTAAATTAAATTGGTGGTTAACTTGGAGGAAAATTAAATTGATGGACTTTAGGTTGCAATTATAACCAGGTTATATATTTGGTGACTGTATTACTGCTCTAAAACAAAAATTATTTTTATCAGCTTTTCATTTTAAAAATTAAATTCAACAATTATGCTTTTACATGGAAGAAAATTAAATTGGTGGACTTTAGGTTGCAATTATAACCAGGTTATATAGTTGGTGACTGTATTACTGCTCCAAACAAAAATTATTTTGATCAGTTTTTCATTTTAAAAATTAAATTCAACAATTATGCTTTTACATGAAGGAAAAGTAAATTGGTGGACTTTAGGTTGCAATTATAACCAGGTTATATAGTTAGTGACTGTATTACCAAGGTGAAATAATCAGTATTTTTTTCATTCATTGTTATTATATACTAACAAGTATTGAAATGCTAAAATCAGCATCATTTCAGAGTGACACTGCAAATAACTTTCAAACGAGTGAAAGGAAAGAGGGGAAAAATCATTTTTTCCAACCCAAAGAGGTCTAAGTAAAAAATTTAAAAAAATAAATGCTTTTTGAAAACATAATAATAATAAATGCTTTTTCAAGTACTATTGTCAATTATTTTAAATATACTTCTTGTAACTTTTAAATTAACCCTTTAATGCCCAATTTTTTTAAAATAATATTTTTGTATAAAATGTTAAATTCAAATTATATTATGAAAACCCTATATGAAAACTACTGTATTTTACCTTTTACGAAAAAAATAATATCAAGAAATAATAAATTTATCAAAATCTAAAATCACACAAGATTCCTGAAGAATATAGAGAATATTCTTGTACTTTTTTGATATGATAAAAAACAATTTCTGAGTCGAACTTGAAAAACGGTTTTTATTTATTTCAGGATTTTATAAAATCCAAGGAACTATTAGAAATGGAAGAAGATGTAGCACTGCTAAAGCCTTTCTTGTCCCTGCTCAAAACAGGAAAAATTTGAATATTTTAACAAATGCATTAGTGACGAAGGTAACATATGCGCCCCTTTTGAAAAAAAAATTTTTGAATAAAATACTTCATAACACAAATTTCATAGATTTTATTTGAATATATGTTGCTGCCAACGTGAATAGTCTGTTATTATTAATACCAACCGGCCAATATAAGTATTAACCAAATAGGCTGGTTATAATAATAATTTAAGCAAATTCATCACATTAAGCGGTTGCTAGTAATAATTACCTATGAAGTTTGGTTATTGTAATTCTTTTGCGTTTTTATTGGGGATATTTCCGTATCATGATCTGCTACGCCAACTACAATCGCCAAACTGTCAAATTGATTTTAAACTAAAAGATAAAAATAATAATAAATAAAAAAAGAAACATGTAAATATTTGCCCGGGCTTGGTGACGAGTTATACCTTTTTAGTTGGTCCCCATCGGTGATACTTTTTTTTTCTGGTAACTTACGGGCCGCTGCCCGTAAGTTGCCAAGACTTGCGATTATTCTGCCATAAATCACTTATTATTAATTTTAACCAGTTAGTATTAATAATAGGTTTTATTACTTAACCGTTGCGCATATACAAAGAGGCATATTCATATCCCAATGCTATATAAACCAATTAATTACGCTGACCAAACTTCAGTGGTTATTGTTAATAATGACTGGTTAATGTGAATTATTTGGGATATTTCTCGCTTCGACCAAAAGAAGTGGTTATTATAAATATTAATCGGTTAGTATTAATAATAATCGGATTTAGTACTTAAACATATGTAGTTATTCCTTTTATAATACTTGGTTAAATTATTATTCATGGTTAAATTATTATTTTTTAAAAATTATCTCATTAAAAATGGTTATTGCAAAGCAGTATTTTATTAAATTTTATTTCTCAGATCAAGTAAAAGACGGTTATCATAAATTTTTCTAAAAAGGTAAAATAATTCTGTCGCTGTAAAAAAAAAATTAGTACATTTTCGTTTTTGATTTTAACTTTTTTGTGGGATAAAATTACAGTGCAAATTTATCAAAGCATTCCCGAGAAGAAATTTAACTAACGAAAAGAATTACTAACTACATGACTTGGTCGAGTCATATATGCTTTCATGCCTATCTCATATTGTATTATTAAATTTAGAATAAGTATACAACTTTTTAAATATTTAAATTAAAAGAAAAACTTAGTGACATATTACTGAATTTCATTTTGAATTGCAAAAAAAAAAATTGTCAATGCTTGGAATTTAAAAAAAAAAACTAATAGGATGTTCCTATCTAGTTCTATTCACAAACTTTGATAATTTATTGTATTTGAAAAAGTGGTTTTTTATAATATAAACAAGAAACAAAGTTCAACCTTTAGTAGCCATAAAATTATTTGAAAATATTTTTATAATTGTCATAGGTTTGATCATTTACCTTCAACTATTCAAATTCTTTAATTGATGTTCATTATCCTGAAATCTTTAGATTCTAATAAAGAAAAAAGAAGCCTATGGAGTTCTCTTTGAAAAGAATGGCCAAAAATATGAAGTTCATGCTACGAAAGAAGTTATTGTTAGTGGTGGCACGATTAACTCCCCACAACTCTTGATGCTCTCGGGTATCGGGCCGAGAGATCATTTAGAACAATTAGGAGTAAGTTTTTAAAGAACATATTATTCTAGTTTAATATTATTATAAACTGCATTTTTAAAAAGTTCGCTTACAAAACACAGACTAACCCGAGCTCCTCAAACACTGAGAAAAGCTAAAACTGTTTGTTTTCCGTTATTCTTATAAGGAAATGAATTTAGGCGACCCAGGCCCATACGCAAGAGTCTGATGTCCCGCAGTCACGAAAGCAACCACAACCAGCACGAAAGACCAAGCAATTTGCGGACACAAGGGAAGCCCCGAGTCACGCAAGATTAAATGCACCATAATCGCGTTGACGAGCACAGGAGACCAGAAGCCCCAGTCGAAACCCGACCACTACCATGCGTGGGCCAGTCTCCGACCAGAAGGCGAGAAAGTCTCTCACCAAAACCACAACAACTTCATTAAGAATACATTTGAACAAAACATTAGAACACAGACAAAAGGAAAAAAGCATTACAGAACAAAGATCAGAGTTGATCTGCTAGGCGGATTACAAAAGTCGACTGTAGGTCTCTTTTCGTGGTTGGAGTCACTTGTGGTTTAGAGTCTCATTTAAATATAGGCTAAAGTCAGTCCCAGTATTTTGTTCTTCTTTGGACCCCTCGTACTACTCTCTTGTACAAAACATAGTTCTTGCTTACAGCGCTATGGTCTATGCTGGTTCGTCTCATTGCAATTCACACATTTTTTCGTTCCTTGACAGGAGTCAGCTCTACGACGGGTGCGTCGCAATTGGAGCAAGTCTCTGATTGATTGCAATCTCTGGCCATATGGCCTAAGCGATTGCATGGTCAGCTCTACGACTGGTGCGTCGCAATTGGAGCAAGTCTCTGATTGATTGCAATCTCTGGCCATATGGCCTAAGCGATTGCATTTGTAACACCTGAGCGGTCGTAGGTACTCGTTGAGTCTGTAGCGCTTCCACCCAACGTTCACTTCGTCACGTTTTATAATTTTCTTAAATCTCAATGGCTCACGTGTGACTACCCAGTGGTGTCCTGCTTTGCGTTTAATGGGGAACGAAACTTCAAATTCTCCCTCTTTAAAATCCTCGTTGCAGTCCCTAATTTGTCTAGTGAGTCCTTCTTTGGTTAATGGCTGTGGTAGCCCAAAAATTATTATTATTGGCTTTTTCCTGCTGGGCACTTCGTACTTTAGTTTTTTACTCAGGCTTTTTTCATTGATTTACTCTTTCACGGTGGCTAAGTCTTGTCTGCTATCGAGCTCTGTTAGCACTTTACCAGTTCGGGTTGTCCTTAGCTCTCTGACTCTGAATTCTGATTCAGTTGGGTCAATATTCTCTTTTAGGACTCTTTCGACTTCCTCGGGAGGAGCGCTCTTCTTTGATTCGACCATCAGGATGTGTTTTTTGGATTTTTTAGATCGCCAAGTCTCTCAGCCGCTTTGATCGCTTCAGCATAAGTTATTGGGCTCTTTTTGTCTTTATTTTTAATCACTAAGTTTAGAGCTCTTTCGGCTTCCGCTTGTCGACCCTTTGTAAAGGACAGTAGGGAATTTTGTTTAGAAATAGTTTGCGAAAACTCAACTGCTACCTGTGCGAATTCTGCAACCGCCAAAGCATTCAGCGTCTTGCCCTGGTGCTTCTTAAGTAGTCGATTCATTTTTTCTAACAGGATTTGCGACTCAGCTGCCCAATCTCTTTGGCTAGCCTCAAAAGAGTCCTCAAAAGATGCGTGCACCCAATCGTCCTCTTCGCTATCCGACATTCTCAAATCTCAAAATCTCTGCTCTATTAGCTTTATTCGTCTTCGTCGGTCATCCCCTCTGTGAGCGTTGGTCGTCAAACGACGTTTCTCCTCCGAATCACGATCAAGGTGTAGAGCAGAAGGTAGAGCTTGGTGTTGTTTGACCGACGTTTAAGAGTTTTCACGGGGAATAGTCACTGACGACTTGTTCCACCGTAAGTATTCTATTAAGAATTACTTTTAAGCAACTTTCAAACTCTAAGGGAGTCTGAGGTCCGTTATTCTTATAAATAAAACTAACCAATGTAAATAAAACACTAGTGACACAAAAACACACTGAAATGACTGCATTTGTCCATTTCTATGTCATTATTTGTACTTATATTACGTTGGTTAGCTTCATTTATGCATAGCACAAATACCGTTTTTTTAAAAATAATTTTATAATTCCTGCTTTAAATTAAAATAAAAATATCACAAGCGCCAGAAAAATGTTTTTTAATGTAAAAATTTTAAAGTAAACCCTTTGGTAAAGAACACTATTTATTATAATTTCTAATTAAATATTTGCTACTGAGAATTAAACGTTGCAATATTGCTCAAGAAACAAAATAATCGGTTCTAAAAACTGCGCAGACGAAAAGGCAGAAGTGCGGATAAGACGAAGAAAAAAACCAAAAAGAAAGAGGTCTTTTGGACATGGTGAAAGAACACACATTTATCTAAAATAAATTTCCATAATGCTATGATTTAGATCAACTTAAATTAATATAATCTTATTTAATTTTAATTTCCATAAATTTTATATGTTTTTAAATATGATTTTGTTTTGTTAATTAAATAATGCATAAGAAAGAAAAAGAAACTCACGAACTATTGGGTTGTTCGGAAAGTAATTTCGTTTTTTTTTGGGGGGGGGCGGGAAATGAAAGACAATTTTTGTATAATGAATAAATATTTTATCAAATTATTTATTGGCCATTCTGGTCCAATACCTTTTGCCATCTTTCTGGTAGTAGCATGATTCCACGCTCATGACAGTTTTGGTCTCTGCTGCCAAAAAACTGATCCAGGTGATTTTTGACCACTTTATTTGAAGTAAAGGTTTTGCAGTCCAAAAAATTTTGTAGTGACCAGAACAAATAATAATCCGAAGGCACCAGATCTGGAGAATATGGTGGGTGTGGCAGTGTATCCCATTCAAGCTGTAAAAGCTTTTGGCGAATGACCAAACTTGTATGAAGTCTGGCATTATCTTGGTAGAACACTATACCTTTTCTGTTGATTAATTCAGGCCTTTTCTGTTGAAGTGCATCTTTCAGTTTGTCCAGCTGACGACAGTAGACTTCCGAATTAAGTGTTGTGTTATCCGTTAAATGCTCAACGAAAAACTATTCCCTTAACATCCCACCAAACAGGCAGCATCACCTTTTTTGATGGATATTGGCTTTCGAAATGCTTTGAGCCGTTTAATCTTTTTTGCTCCACGATCTCTTGCGTTTGACATTGTTATAGTCAACCCATTTTTTGTACCCAGTAATGATGCGCTTCAAAAATGGATCATTTTCCTGACGTTTGAGAAGCGAATGACAGAAGTCAACGCGACGACATAAATTTCTCTCCGTGAGAACATGGGGAACCCATACATCGAGCTTCGAGGTAAAACCCAGGCCTTTCAAGTGGTCATAAACAGTTGAATTCGATAAATTTAACCTCTCTTCGATCTCACTTGTTGTTATTCACCGATTTGCATCAACTAATGCCTTTATAAGGTTCAGCGGGCCTTTCAGAACGTGGTGCATCTTCGACATCGAAATTGCCGGATCGAAATTTTGCAAACCAATTCTGTCACTGGCGTACTGTTAACACATTTTATTCATACACATCGGTAAATTTCTTTCTGGCAGGAACAGCATTTTTACCTTTTCTATAGTAAGAAAGTAAAATATGACGAAAATGCTGTTCATTGTTCTCCATATTGAAAAGGTCACCAACCAAAAACTACTCCGTAGAATTAGTTGAATTTTTTCACACATAAGCCTTGCTATATCAGCTTTCAAAACATATCATGATAATGCGGCTTAAGTGTGAAGTTGCTTTCGAAAAAGTACAATTAAATCCTCTGTCGGAAAAACGAAATTACTTTCCGAACAACCTAGAATAATTCTGAATTGTTACAAAACTAGCTCCGAAAAGTGCAGGAACTGATATCTAATAACATTTTTGAAACTTGAACTAGTATGCTTCTTACTGAAATGCTCGATACATTTTGCCCTAAATTTTCTAAGCAAAAGGAAATTTTTTTTCAGATACCTGTCATAGCCGACCTTCCTGTGGGAAACAATCTACAAGATCATGTTGGAACGGCATTTTTAAATTTCGAGGCTCCAGGAGCTAGAGATTTATTTCAAGAACTTTTTGACACACCTCTGAGCACCATTTATAATTTCAACACTTATGGAAGAGTTAAGTATAAACTGAAAAAACTATTTTCAACACTGTAGTAGTAAGACTAAATCTACATACTTTAAAATAAGAAATGATTTAAGGTGACATTATAATACTGGGTTATAAAGTTTTCGTCACAAATTCTCTTTCACCTCCATTAGTATTTAAAAGTTTAAAGCAAAGCGAGTTCAAATAAACCAAGAGTAAACTATGAAGTTTCAAATGCTGATTTTTTTTCAAAACATGAAAATGCAAACAAATTATGGCAAGATAACTTCCTCTAATTAGTTTGCAGTTTGATGTTCTTAATTTCTTTCTTTTTTTATGTTTTAAATTTGTTTTTTGAATTTTAAAAGGCTGATTTTTTTGAAAAAAATATCGAAGCGCAAAAAAATTGTGGCAAGATAACCTCTCTACTGCGCAATCATAAGTTATCTTGCCGTAATTAGTTTGCATTTCGAGGTTTTTAAATTTTTTTTTGAAGTTTCAAACACTGAATTGTTTCTTAAACTATAAAAGTGCAAAAAAATTAGGGCAAGATAAATTCCTCACTGCGTAATCGTAAGTAATCTTGCCCTAATTGGTTTTTATTTTTATGTTTTTTAGTTTCTTTGAAGTTTTAATTGCTTATTTTTTTTCTTCAAAATATCAAAATGCAAACAAATTATGAAAAGATAACTTTCCCAGTGCGTAATGGTAAGTTTTCTTTGCCCTAATTTACTTGCGTTTGGATGTTCTGAGATTTTTCTCTCGGCACTTGAAACATCATGGTTTATATGATCTTCTTTTGTCTTTATTTTAAATTTCAAATTACTTATGTAGGTGAAAGATAATTTGCTATTAAGAGTTTCTCTGATCATATAGCATCCTCTTAAATTTGGGAGTGTTGAGGGCATGGAGTTCTCAAGTTATTATGTAAAATCCAAAAGATTTTATATAACGTTGTTTACAGTTTTTTTAAAGAAAAAATTTGGGGGAGAAAGCAACCTTTACTTAATGGTAATAAGTGGTAGTAACTTAGTGGTAGTTTACCTTAGAGTGTATTTTATGTAAGAAAAAATATTTATTAGGCTAATTTTTATCCTTCAATTTTCGCTTCATTGCCCCTGCACTTTTTGTTTTGCTGTATGGTATGGTTTTTTACACTAAATAATTTAATAATATATTATTTCATCCATCAGACTGTTTCCATCTAATATTTGGTAATAAATAATTTTAACTGCTTACATACAATATTTCTATACAATACAATACAATATTTCTATAAAACATTCTTAATTTAGACACCTTAATTGTGTTCTTACGCTAAATTTTGAGTACATATTTGAAAGTTTATGTTTTTTTATGTTTTTTTTTATCGTTTATCATGAAAGAATGCATAAACATTGTTGCAGTGATTCTTGCAATCATTTAGGAACTTGTTGACCGTAAGTTACAATTGCTTGGCAAGCATTAGGTACAAAATTATTTATTTTTTTAAACTTTATAGGCCCACTAACCAGTTTGGCTGGAGTTGAAGGTTTAGCTTGGATCAATACGAAATATCAAGATCATTCACTAGACTGGCCAGATGGACAAATCCATTTAGCTGCGTTTTCTTTCGCTTCGGATCAAGGGATTCTTTCAAAATCTTACATTGAAATATCAGATGAAGTAAGATATAGAAAGCAATAACTGTAAATTTTTCTTTGGAGTTGGCTTTTCAGTAAATGAGTTCTAAGACTGTGTGCAGGATTATTTAATTATAGTAATTAAATCTAAAGGTACGTATAGTAAAAATGCAATCCTAACTCCATATTGCCGCTTCTTCCAAGAACTCCATTTTGTTTACTTTACGAGATTCAAAAATAGTTAGTAAAATGGCATCTATCATATAAAACTTTTGTTTGTAACTGAGTTTGTATTTATTTTTAATTGATAACGCTAACCAGAAAGTATCATTAACATGCACGCATTGTTGTTATCATTTTGCGTAATATTGGAAAAGCTTAGAACCAGTTTCAAAAAACAAAAACAAAAACTTAGCAAATATAATAAATCAAATTAAAAGTTACTGCGTTGAATATAATAAATACTATTTATTTTCGGAGTAATATAAATAATATTATTCACTCCTGAACGACTTTACTCCGAAAAAAAAAGTATTATCCTAATATGTGTTCTTCTTCGAAAAATGACGGAAAACCAATGGTAGTGCCCAAGTGCCAGACACACTGAGCTAATTGTTAAGACTCGATTCCCTGTAAATCACCGGAGTCAAGAATCACTGACAGCAGTGAGTGATAGGGTGGTTGATAACTCTAATCAGTCTACAAAGGTACTTTGGAAGGTACTATATTTACGTATTGAACTTACCAAGTATGTAATATATATTTCTGTAAGTAGGTAGGTATTTTATTTACGTTTATTACGAGCTGAAAATTAGGCTATTGATGGCGACGATCTGGGAAACTTCCCAGAAGATGATCAGAGGACTTGCTGTCACAATTTTGATACTCTGCAGAATATTGTTCCCCCGCTTTGGTAGCGCGACAACCTACGCACGAAGTCAAGCACTTTGCGGTAGAACAGTTTAAAGAGGACCAATGCCGTGCGCCAACGGTCCTTACGCAAGCAGATCAAAGTGGTCACTCACTCGCCCGCTTACTGACCACAGCCAGTGATGCTTGACTTTGGCGTTTGATTGGCAATTGTGTCTTTACGATCAGTCCACAGCAGGAATAGCCAACAAAGGGACAAGGGGTGTGGAATTTTGGTTCTCGTTAAACTGTTCTGTTATAAAACGCACGACTCGCGCGCAAGCCGTCAGGCTATCAAAGCAAGAGATCTATCTCCTCCGAAGAAGTTTAAAATTGTGATGACATTGCTTCGGATCATCCTCAGGGATGCATCCCAGACCATCGCCAATAGTCCATTGTAACGCTCACTTGTGACGTAAATGAATTAATAGTACTACTTTACATTTGCTAGACGGAGCACTACAAAGTAATTAAACCCCTATTTCGATTAAGTCGAAGCATGAGCAAAGGGGTAGAAAGACCTCGAGTATGAAAATATACAGTAGAATTTGTTTTGAAACCAAATACATCCCTCGAAAAAATTTCTCTGGTTTATTTCTATTTATTTGTTATTTTCAGGAAACTAAATTTGCATTGTTTAATTTATTATATTACTTTGTTTAGATTTATGATCAAGTATACAAGCCTTATGAAGGGAAAAACACGTTTACATTTTTACCTTGTGTGGTGAGACCATTAAGTCGAGGAACAATAAGATTAGCTTCCACAGATCCTAAACAACATCCATTAATTGATTCCAATCTATTCCAGTACAAAAATGACTTAGATAGGTTGGTAGAGAGTAAGTAATAAAGAATTCTGAGTAAAATGTTTTTGTTAAAATATATTTCTCATGTAATCTTTTCGGAAAAATACGTCATTTTTTTCCCAACATATTGAAAAAATTTGTAATGAATAAATGTTTACTGCATTTTTAATATCTTCAGTTTTCGGAAAAATTATTTAAAAATATTTATTTACTCTTAAGTAGTATTAGATACATGCTGTTAATAAATGTCAGGTGATTATAAGTAAGTTGAATTAAGCAGCGCTAACAAAAGTCAGCGATTCGAATCATATCTTAAATAATTCCTATCAAGTTCATTTATTCAACAGATTCTTAAAAAAAAAAAATCTGTAAATTAAGATATTTTAGGTAGTTTTCTCATAATTTTTATTTAGAAGTCTTCCTATATTTATCTACACACCATGAATAGAAAACTATTGTTTTACCCACGAATTGTTGAATTACCACGTTATTGTTCACGAATTGTTATCAAACAGAAAAAAGAAAAATCCCATAATTAAGATAAGTTCGTTTATAAACAAAGATACTAGATACTATAAAAGCTGGATAATTTCGGTTGCCATCAACAAAGAAATAATAGATAAATAAGTAAAATTTAGTGCGATATAGCTGACGTTACTTAATTTGCATGTCTAATGTAGAGCCCCTGAATTAGAGAAGTCGACTCGTCCGCCGTTTTGGAGCAAATTTTTCACAATGCGGAAGAGCTACAAGATTTGGCAACTTATCGCTACAAACAACGCTAATGTCAAGTAGAATAATTCGCAAAGAAAAGCGTATTTTCGTACATCGATTTACTTTATTTTTCGAATTTTTTTTAAATTCTTGAACAAATTCCTTTAAAATTTATTATTATTCGTATTTAAAGTAAAACTATTAATCATTACTAGATAGAAATAGTTTTTACGCATTTTTTGTTCTTTAATAATAATAAAATGAATAAAAAATCCCAGCAAATGAAGAAGAATCAGTAAATTTATATTTGCATTTGATTTAAGCTTATCTAAAATTGATGCTGGTTTTGGAACACTTATCCATGTGAGTTTTCGTGGAGGAATTTTTTAAAGGATTCGGAATAGTATCAGGCCTTAATTTTTTGTTTCCATCTTTTTTATTTACTTTAAGTTGAGATTCTTCAAAATTAAATCACGGTAAAAGATTCAGAGTTTAACTTTTGTAAAAATATTCCCATTAACTTTTCTACAACTGAAACTAATTATTTCAGCAACTTAATACAAGAATTTTTAAGAAAAAACAAACATTTATAGATCCAAATACGTAAAACGGACGAAAAATCCCATACTAAATAGATTTCTTATTATAGATGTAAACAAACTGTTTGAACTGTCAGCAACATATTACCATAAGTAACTAAAAAAAATTAAATAAGCCATCATTAAAAAATTAACTATATGATATATTAGTGAATCAAAGTAAAATACAATTGGAAATAGGTAAGCATTTTTAACAAAACAAAAGAAAAAAAATTAAAAGGGAATGCAAAACTTGGTGATTCTGAGATAAGTTTGGCGAATCGCTTGATTTTATTTATTTGGTTTTATAAAACTCAAACACAAAATTGTTAAATAAATTATCAAATGTTGTTTGCAGGTCATATTTTAAATCAGGGATGGGCAAACTTTTTTGGTCGAGGTCAAAAAATCGAGAGAAAAAAAGTTTGGTGGGCCGAGTAAAAACTTCTAGAAAAAAAAGAAAAAAAACGATGTACAAGTCTTAATTTAAATATTTAATGAGATGAATGAAATTGCGATTTCATTTTTAAAACTTCCTTATATTGGGGTTCAAAGTGCTTATTCTAAGGAACGAGGCTAAATGCTTGTCTTTTAGTCTACTTCTGAAATGATTTTTTCTAAGGTTCATAGTTGAAAACACTTGTTCACATATGTAAGATGAAGCAAACAAAGCACTGATTTTCTGGTCATGAGATATTAAATTTTAGAAACTAGCTTTTGGTAATGTTTTGCAAAACTCAAACTTTGACATGCTTAGAAACAACAATAGTGTGCAATCTTTCCATTCTCAATAAATAATGTAAGAACTCGCACCGGCAGAAAAATCCACTCCTTGGAGCTAAAAATGCCCTGTCTGCCACATGTGAAGCACAATTCACCTATGTTAGATTTTATATGTCTAAACCTCTAGAAAGACAAACGCTTGTTAGAGCTAATCTGCGGCTATTCTATAAGGAACTTCAGCTTTCAACATTTTACCAATTGAAGCTGTCTATGCTAACTATTTCCATCAATTCCACCAATAGAGAAAGTAAAAACGTCATCAGTACTTTGTTAAAAAAGAAAGAACAAAAATAGCTTTAAACAAAGTAGACAAAATAATGGATGTATAATGTATCTTGTTTATATTCGGCACGGATCGGCAAGTTAAAATTCTATTCGAGGGCCGGATAAAACCTCCCGACGGGCCACAGTTGGCCCGCGGGCCGTAGTTTGCCCATCGCTGTTTTAAATAAATATTTACTTACTAAATGCAATTTTCAATGAAAATTCTTATATTTGATACATAGTTAGAACTGAACAATTCAAATAACACCGAAAAGTTATCAGCTTATTTATTTTTAAAGAAGNAAATTTATATTTGCATTTGATTTAAGCTTATCTAAAATTGATGCTGGTTTTGGAACACTTATCCATGTGAGTTTTCGTGGAGGAATTTTTTAAAGGATTCGGAATAGTATCAGGCCTTAATTTTTTGTTTCCATCTTTTTTATTTACTTTAAGTTGAGATTCTTCAAAATTAAATCACGGTAAAAGATTCAGAGTTTAACTTTTGTAAAAATATTCCCATTAACTTTTCTACAACTGAAACTAATTATTTCAGCAACTTAATACAAGAATTTTTAAGAAAAAACAAACATTTATAGATCCAAATACGTAAAACGGACGAAAAATCCCATACTAAATAGATTTCTTATTATAGATGTAAACAAACTGTTTGAACTGTCAGCGACATATTACCATAAGTAACTAAAAAAAAATTTAAATAAGCCATGATTAAAAAATTAACTATATGATATATTAGTGAATCAAAGTAAAATAGAATTGGAAATAGGTAAACATTTTTAACAAAACAAAAGAAAAAACTTAAAATACTTACAAAGCTTGGCGATTCTGAGATAAGTATGGCGAATACTTATTCAGCCAATCGCTTGCTTTTATTTATTTGGTTTTATAAAACACAAACACACAAATTTGTTAAATAAATTAGCAAATGTAGTTTACAGGTCATATTTTAAATAAATATTGACTTGCTAAATGCAATTTTCAATGAAAATTCTTATAATTGATACATAGTTAGAACTGAACAATTCAAATAACACCGAAAAGTTATTAGCTTATTTATTTTTAGAGAAACAGACAAAAACGAGCATTCAGAAACAAATTGTAACAATATGTAAGTAAATAAATTCAATAAATTATAAATAAATGAGTATTTGCCTCACATAAGCGAGCTCCATTTTCAGGCTGTCAGTTATATCGTCTGCAAGTGGCAGCAGAAGCAACAACATATTTGTCTATAATGATTTAAAATCTCTCAAACAAATTACTGTTTTGTTGCTCTAATAAATTCCAAGTCTTCCACTACATTCAAGCAGCGGTTTTTATTTTCTAATAAGGCATATGACACTTAATGATAAATAATTCACTGTAATATTACATTTTATCTGGGCTTTGTTTCGTTGAATATTTCTGCTGCTCTCCTTTCATTAAGTGAATAACACGTGAAAAAGATATCTGTTTAGCAATATGGTATTGTATTCTATGAAAGATAATTTTCTAATATATTACATCATCTTTCGGAGTGTTTTCATTGAATATTCGGTCAAAAATAAAATAATTTCATTGGTTGCATACAATAGTCTTTATACTTAGATACCTTAGTTTCAACTTTTAATTATATTTTGAGTAAATATTTATAAATGTCTAATTTTTAATATTTTTTTTAAATTTAGTAATAAAAGAATGTATAGATATTGCTGCATTCGGGTTTGTCAGTTTTTGTTGTGCAGATTCATTATTACAAGGGGTGATCAAATGAAAAGGTACGAAACGTCACGGTGGGTACAAATGTAGATTTTATTCAAAATATACACCAAAGGCCTGGGCACAACGATCCCATTGATGAACAAACCAAGGGATTCCTTGTTCCCATAATTCCTGTGACCGTGACGAGACCCTGTCCTTCACAGCGTCCTTGAGTACGTCGTCCGAGTTGAAGCGCTTCCCTTTCAGATGTTTCTCCAGTGAACCAAACACATGGAAATCGCAGGGCGACGTGTACGGACTGTAGGGCGGATGGTCCAACGTCTCCTACTTGAACTTGGCCAGTTCCATGTATGTGACTCTGGAGACGTGTGGACGCGTGTTATCATGGAGCAGAACCACACCCTCCGTGAGCAGCCCCAGTCTTTTGTTCTTGATGAACCTGCGTAAGCGTCGGAGTGTCTCACAGTACACATAGGAGTTAGTGGTTTTTCTGTGCTCGAGTTTCTGTTCCTCATACGGACTGTCGCATCATTTGGACGCCGCATTTGATAAGAGCCTGTGCTCTCTCCTGCGCATGCGGGCACCCGCGCATACTCCGATCCCAGTCAGAGACTCCAATCGCATCCCTAGATGTCTCGCTACGTTCTCCCATCGCAAATATTCAACTGTTACGTTTTTACGTCGTTTCGTACCTTTTCGATTGATCACTCCTTGTAGTTATGTTTGTTTGGTCAATACCATGAGTAAAAAAAAATTCTTATTTTATATGAAATAATTTCCGACACAGGTAAAAAAAATTTTTGCTTCCAAGAAAAATTTTAGTATATCATTATTTTACTTACTTCATCCCTAATAATTTACTACTATTTTTCTCTGGCTGGATATTTTCCTTTATAATATTGTAAAAGATAATTTTAATTGCTTACATTCAATTTTCTATAACCATAATCCTAGCTGAGACATTTTGCATACATACGTGAATTAGTATACATTTATAAATATCTTTATTTTTTACGTTTTATTCTTTTTATTTTAGTCCTGAAAGAATGCGTGGCGATTGTAACGAAAACGAAAGCGTTCCAAAGACTAGGCGCCAAAATGTTTACAACTAAATTCCCAGGATGTGAGATGTTTGAAGCCAACAGCACTTATTACTCAGAAAGTTACCTAAGATGCCTTGCAGTAGGATACACATTCAATTTATATCATCCAGTTGGCACCTGCAAGATGGGGTACGAATTAGACAAGACAACAGTTGTGGATCCTCAATTAAAGTATGTCTATTTTATACCATAAATTGTTATTCACTGCGTTATTACAGTTGAAGGATTTGGGACGAAATAGCAATGAGCTAAGAATTTGTTAATATTGTTTCCAGATACGTATTTAACAAGTTTTCGTAAATGAAAAAAGGCTCAAAAGCTTTTCTTTTTTCCGGGAGTTGCGGTGTTTTTAACCGAAAAAAAATCCTGAGCAATTTAAAGTAGAAATTATCATGAATTTCTTCTCCTGATATAATTCTAACTATATACACTGAGTGGCCAAATTATTATGACCACCCCTTCAGTCGTCTGCTTCCAACCCTATACGGCGCAATGTGCGTCGAACAGTACGTTCAGAGACATTCACAGTTGCTCCTTGATTAAGATCACTTGCAATTTGTCGCACTGTTGCTCTCCTGTTGCGCTGCACAACCCTGGCCAGCCTTCTCTCTGATCGAGCATTCAGTACCCTGTGACGACCACAAGTCTGACGTTGAGATCCGGTTTTTTGCTTGATTGTCCATTCTTTGTACACATTAACAACTGCTGCTCTAGAACACTTCACAAGTGCAGCCGTTTTGCTGATGCTCGTTCCGACACATCTCGCACCCACAATCATTCCACGTTGAAATTCAGTTAAATCACTTTTCTTTCCCATATCTGAGCAAGCAACACAGTATAACTGATGACTCACTTGTCCAGCATTCCCGTGTTATGGTTATCTTGCCCTCTATCGGCAACGCTGTGACGCAATAACTCATTTGCATAAAACTCTGAGGTGGTCATAATAATTTGGCCACTAAGTGTATTTTGGAAATATCATTTGCTTGTATTCATACCTCACACAACACTGGGCAACAATTATTTTTCCTGTTGCCTGAAATTTTTTAACACACCTTAGATACTTTCGTTCCGCTGATTTCAAACCTGCATCGGTTTTTTTTCTGCAAGCAATATATTATTTTAATGACATTTTTAGTCTATTTCTTGTCGGAATTTACAAGTTTAATAACTATGTATACAAGAAGGATTGCATGAATGCTGCATTAAACTTCGCAGAAAGTTAGGAGATATCTAGGATTAAAATTGCACAGGAACTCACGCCGGGAAATGTCGTCATACCCCGCAAAAAGCGCTTCTCTAGAAGAAACTGTTTCTTCCTATGCTTCTTAACAGGTCGTGAAAGGGAAGCGTCCCTTACCACGTACGATGACATTTTCAGGCATAGACTATGCAAATTTTATTTAGTGATGAGTCCTAACACTCTTTGAAGAATATCGCATCATTTATGTAGATACTAATTACTTTCGTAATTAATATCTACGATTCGATCCATGATATGTACGATCTGTTGATCTTTCGACATCTATCACCACCGAAATTTTCTCTTACGGATTTTGAAATAGCCCATAACAAAATGTGACGCTTATCGTCACTTAATTCAGAATCACAATAAAACATTCAAAATAGATTTATCGTAAATTGCAAAATAATTGATTAGATTTAAAATACTGTTAAAACTTCCATTAGTACATAGAACCTTAGCAAATACAAATAAATACTCTTGATTAAAGTTAAGAAATACGTGTCGAAAAGAGTTAATCAGAAGTCTATAGTCCAAGTTTGATCTCTTATGTGACCTTTCCAGAATTTAGTAATAGTTTTATCGAGCAAAAAGTTTAGTATAAAAGATCGAAAAAAGACAACGAACTAGAGAGAGTAGAACCAAGTCATTAGAGAGGTTCACCAATTTCCACTATGAACATCAGTATGGGTAAGTTCTCTCCATGCCAATTAGTTTATTTGTTACTAATCAAAGCCTTTTAATTAATTTAATTTGTTATTTAAATTTGTATTTGATTAAAGCATTATTTGTTTAAGTATTTTAAATAGTTAAAGTATGTAAATTAATTCTACAATATATGCATAAAATAAACGATCACTGGTTAAAATGAGTAGTAGTAGTTTGTGTCTTTAAACCACCGTAACAAAAATAACACATCACTTTTTTGTTGTTTTAAGTCTGACATGAGTAAAAATGATATGTACGATCTATCGATGCTACACCTGTTGATCTTTCGACATTTATCACCGCCGAAATTTTCTCTTACGAATTTTGAAAAAGCCCATATCAAAGTAACCTATAACTTTTTTTCCGTTTCAAGTCTGACATGAATAAAAATATTTTCTCTTTTTACTCTTCTAGGAAAAAGTAGATTTTCAAATTTTAATTTTACATTTTACACATTCTTTCCTATTAATTTTGAAAATTATTGGATGTAAGTAATAAAACAAAACCCAAGAAGTTTAAGCATAATTTTTTTTAAACATCAAATAGTTTCTATCCCATAGAATACTAATTTTAAATTTAATTTTTTGCAGCTTCAAAAAATGATGTATCGATCAAAAAAAAAATAGTCATTCAAAAAAAAAAAGTTATTTTGTCAACAAACTTACCATTTAAATGAAGTTCATAATTTGTTCTTTTTTAGGGTAAAAGGAGTGAAGAATCTTCGGGTCGTCGATGGTTCTATTATTCCATATGAGGTATCTGGCAACACAAACGCTCCTATCATCATGATTGGTGAAAAAGCTTCGGACATGATCAAACTAGACAATCTGGATAGAAACAAATGCTAAAATACGTCTATCATGTCACTCGAATTGCTTTCTTTATTGTAGACTATTGAAACAAGTGTTATTTATTTCGTTCTGTTATAAAAAAAAAAAAATTTTAAATTAAAAATGGTTCTTAAAAAATGTCTCTTCTTTTTTTCTCTAAAATTTAAGAAAGTAATATTAATATAGAATCTGGATTGGGAACAATAGAATCTGGAACTAAATCTGTGAAACCGGGTCTGAATTAATACATTTTGGAATTTTTTCATCTGAATAGTTTTTAATTTATAAATCCTATTAATCGAAAAAGAATTATTGCAGCAATTGTCAGTATTGCTGTGTATATATTTTCTAGTATCATTAGTAACTTAGTATATTTTATAGTATCATTATTAATTGAATTTAGAAAAAATAATTCATCTAACAAGGAAAATGTTAGAAACTTTCCAATAGATGTCTATTTTATTATGTCACATTACATTACGTCTATTATATTAACACTCCTTTCAAAAGTATTGCTTGAATTTCTCCAATTCAATAACTTTTTTATTCTTAGTTAAATTCACCAGTTCAGGATATTTAAGCTTTAGAAAGATGCGTCCCACTTTAGCTACTTCTTTTAGTGTTATAAAATACTAATAGGTTACTAAAGGTTACATATTAAAATTTTTATTTATTTATGTTCTCTTTTGTAGTTTCCGTAGTTATTAATATAATTTAATTAAAAATAAATGAATAAAATAAATCATTCAAACTAATGTGAAACCAATGTAAAGAGATTATTAAATTTATTAAAATTTTTTGTTAATTGAAACTAAGATTTATTTATTTTAGTTTAGTTTAAATTTCTAGATTTAATGATTGCTCAAAGCTGAAATTATTTTTTATTACAGTAAAAAATTAAATTATTTAATTTATAAGTTTAAAGTTATAATTTTAATTTTTAAAGTATATTGTAAGTTATTGAAATAAAATAATTAAGTTTAAAATTTAGCCCACGGAAAAAAAAAAGTTAGAATCTATGAAACTTTAAAACTTTTGCTTTCTTCCATTTTTCATTTCGCAAAACACATAAATACTGAATTTCGGTTCTTAGTGACTTTGACGTTAATATCTACACATAAAAAAATTAATTAACAGGATCGTAAAGAAAATGTTTTTAAACTCACCGACTCACTTCATTTTTTTTTCCTTTTTTGCCACAATTAAAAAGTTATTAAATCTTTAGAAAAAAATAGGCGCTGCTTATACAGTTGTTTTATTTTTTTATTTATTTCATCATGCTATTTCGTATAGTTTCATATTTTTAACACAAACGTATCCAATATCAAATTCAAATATGATTATATGAAGTTATTCAATCACTTACATTGGAGTTTAATTTTTGTATTATTGATTTTGCATAGATGGCGACACCTTATGTTTTTAAGTCAGATTATCTTTGTTTTCAGAGTATAAAATAAACTACAGATTCTGTTGCCATCTAGTGTTATTTATCTAAATCATTAGAATGAAATCCTTTCACGAACGATGAGTACAGAGAAAATATTGAGTAGTAAAAATTTTTAACTTAGTTAATTCAGTTTGGCCTGCATGCATCGCAGATGCGAGAGCAAAAAATTTCAAAGCCGAGAAAAAAAAGAAAATTGCAAAAAGATAAAATAGTAATATAAACTTCATTAAAATAAAAGTAAATGCATTAAAATAAGAACAATAAAACATTAAAAAGATATGTAAATTAGTCTCTGGACGTCAAATGCATCATATCTTTTGCCTCCCAATATCGATTGCGAAGTTTTATTTTTTTATTTTTGGGTTTTAAAATAATATAAAATGTCAATATTTTTTTTTTTTAAAAAAATAAACAAGAGCATTTGGATGATTCATTTTATTTCAATAAGTTTTCCATCGTTTATTATTTGAAAGAATGAAACTGAGTCATTTTCAAATTTTCGATTTCTAAATTAAAGTCACATAATTTTTCTTTTTTTTAATTTTTTAATTAAGTGTGGATGTACTTTTGGCATATATGCAGTCTTAGATCAATAAATCATTAAATCACCTTTCCAAATCACAATTTCCCGTTAATTTAAAAATTATTATAAAATATCATTAAAAGTACTTAAAATTATTATAAATATTTTTTATTTTGCTTCAAAAATTTGAAAAGTTTCGTCAAATTTAAATGCAATAAAAAAATAAAATAAAAAAAACTGAAGAATTTTCAGTTTGATGTAAGAATGACACTAAAAAAACTACATTATCTTAGGAACACTTCATACGTTGCCATTGATTATGTGTAAAAAAATATATAAATGTATTGCCTAGTATATGAAGTAGATTTATTTATTATTTTCGTTCCTTATTTATTTATTTAAAAAAAGAAGGAAGGAAAAAGAAACTTGCTGATTTCCCTTTAATAAAATAGTACGAAGACGCTAAATTATTCATCAAACGATAATAAATTTCTACATAATGAAAATATTTATTTGTTTACTTCCTAACTTTCAGACGATTATTCATTTTTATTGATTCAAGCCGAAAAGAATGTTTTTTCTTAAGTGTGAGTATGCTCTGTTTTTGTATTTTAAGGTTATAAAAATTTCCGATTCAATAAGTATCTTCACTAAAAAGTATCACTTCATTAATTAATTAAAAAATTAGAAAATAAAATAAAAATAAATCATATTTTGCAAATTGCTACTCCTTTATCTCTAATCAACAGTAAGTGCATTCAGTATATTCGTTTAAATTTTAGAACGGTAGAAACTCAGCACGTAAAAATATAACTAATTATTATCTCTGTGTTTAAATTACCACTCGTTTAATCAACATTCTTAAAAGTAATTTCTTATTTTAAATGGGAAAAATCACCTTCAAAACATTCTTTACTAGTTCTCAAATGAGAAATATTTGAATAATTTAATGAATAAATCATACGAAGATTTTTCTCTTGTTTCAATTACTTAATGTTTCGTTTCTTGAAGGAAAACAATTATTTTGTTAAGTATGGTAGCTATTGGTAGATAATATTATAATTAACATTTTTCAAGAAAATTATGAAATGTGTTATTGTTTATTTGAATGGTAATATATTTTTCATGCACAATAATATGTCATTTTTTAGATCCGACTATGCCGAAATAACTAGAATAATAAATTTCGAATAAAATAATTTGCAGAAACATTCACTGCGAAAATTTTATATCAATTCGAAATGAACATTCGGCTTAAAAAAAAGCTATGACCATAAAAGTTGGTCAATTTTTGCGCGCATTTGATGTCATGTACAGGGACATTGCTTATATCTGTATATTATCTTCATCAAAGGCATCAAAAATTTGTTTCATACAAATAGAAAAATAAACTTTTGGAGCTAATCACGGTACTTTTTAGTTAGCTGTGCGCAAGCAAAAAATCGCCAACAATGTAGACCTTTATCAGCTTTTTATTTTTTATTTTTTTATTACATTTGTTTCTTTAAACACATCAAAATTAAATAAAAATAATTTATTCAAATGAAAAAAAAATTTCTAAAAAAATTTGAATTATTGTGTGCCCGGCTTACCTTAAAGCACCCTAATCGCAAATAAGGATATCAAAAATTAATTCACTTATTATGAAAAAAATGAGAATGATATTATACTCTACCCTTAGCGCATTTATTAATATTGGCGTGTTTTTTGGGAAGCGTCTCTGAGAGTAATTTAACGTAGACACTTCGCGTAACAAAATATGAAAGAAATACGAAAAATAAGTTTATAAAATTCATGAAATTCATAAATTAAAGTAATACAAAAAAAAACATAATAATAATAATAAATAAATAAATCACATACCTAATTTACAGGTGAATATTTGTTCTGTGGTTTGCACATTTTCGTCACTGCACTAAGAAATTTTTAAATGCGTCATCACGACTGTCATTTGAATAATATTCACTAAACGAAATTACGCAACTCAATTAAAAAAAGAAATGAAAGTAATATAATTAACATTAGAAAAAACTTTTCATCTCCAAGGGTTTAGATTCAAACGCGATCAACTCATATATAGTATAAATATTTCTTAATATAATTACTTTACCAGGCAAAAAACAATTAATGCTTTAATGTTTTAATTGGTTGCTTATTAAAAATAGGGTACAGAAAAGTAGGTATTCATAGTTACTAGAAATAAAATGTTCCAAGCAATTTTTGTCCCAAATTTTTAAATAATGTTTTTAAAAAAAAAATATTCAAAAATTTTACTGATTAATCCAAGGGGCGTTAAAGATTTAAACTCAAAATTTTAAATCCTTTCAAAAAGTTGCAGATCAAATATAAAAAAGATATTATGTTATAAAATTTCATAAAACTTTAACTAACCTTTAAAAAAAATTCATTTTTATTTAATAAAATTCTAGTTGTAGGTTAATTTCAAGATCTTTTTCAGTAGATACAAAAATAATTTTATTTATTTATTTTAATAATTTTATTGTTACCTTTGCTTATAGTTACTTCAAAAAGAAATACCTCAGAAACTAGTTCACAGATGGCGCTGCGTGAAGCGTCTCTAACAACGGTTGCCATGGCTGCTGTCCGGAATCATCAGAGGAGGGAGAAAGATGTTGATGGTGAAGATCGGGAGTAGTGTCGTATCTTTATTGTTTTATTCACCGGCAATTTATAAGGAATAATTGGATATACACTATAAATCTTCGCATCATCTATAAGGTAAGCTTTGATTCCCCGTAGCATTTTCACTCCATCGATCTCAGTGAATTAATTTTCCGCAATTTCGCTTCCAGCTTCCGTAACATCGTACCCCCCTCAGAGTTGTATAATGCCGTTAGGGGACGGAAAGCCGTGCGAATAATCCGGAAATTAAAACAGTGTTACCTAGATTTTCAAAAATGCATACAGTTATGCACAGAAAATAATTTTGAATTACTGTGCTTTGTAAAATGCAATATTGTTCAGCAGTAAAACACAATATTTATAACAACATTATGTCAAAAATATAATTGAATCAATAATTTCTGATCTTGAAATTTATGCAGGAATGTTGTTGTTTCTTTGTTTTTGCTTTTTTTTCTTCAGAAAAGTCAGTATTATTTCATGAAATGTCTTAAAGTATAGTAATTTAATCAACTTTTATAGCCATGAAAATCCTTAAATTTGAAAAGTTTTAAATATAATATAGAGGAAATTTTTATGTAAAATTTATTTCACGTTTTGTTTTTATGTTGGAATGGTTATTGAAACTAATTGAATTATGGTTATTGAAACTAATTGAAGACTGATGTTAATTACATAAATTATGTTAATTATAAAATTTTACTCTGCATGAATTGTTTTTAAATTGAATCAAGTATTTTAATACATAATTTAATAATAAGTATAATGTGAGTTAATAAAAAATCGAACGGTGGCACGTAAAACATAAACTTAAACTTTGTGTAGATTTCTGCGCTGCTTCCAAAACTCATTTTAGAATTTTATTTCTATCGAATCTGATCAAGAAACTTTTATCTGCAACAATATAATCTTTGATAGAGAAGATAAAAAGAGCTTGGGTACTTTTAAAATCAATTTTGAGAAAAATTCATAAAAAATACTCTCTTTGAAAATAAAATTTTAAAATTAAAAATTCTTATCTTTTAGTTTTACAATGCAAACAACTTCCTAAACCAGTTATTGCCTGACGTTTAAATTTTTTTTTACGCTTAGTTGCGAAATTTTTATTTTTATAACTTTACTAAACCATTTATGATTGTGAAACAAATGTGATATTTCATATTATATATCTAGGTGTTGCAAAGAATGGCGTGATTATTTTATCGTCTTATATGTCTTATATAACCCATCACAATAAATAATTTTTGTTTGAAAAGAAAAAAATAGCTAAGCAAAGTTCCTTAACCTCGGGACACAGAATTTTTATTATACATATTTTTCATACTTTTTTTCATTATTTTGTATTAATATGGATCAAAATATTTTAAAAATATTATATTTAACATTTTAAAAATTTATAGAATAGAAATACAGCATGAAACAGCGGTGTCTTTTTCTGCATTAAAGATAAAACCCTTCAAAAACGGCTCACTTTAAAACAATACCTTTTCAAATCTGCATCTATTTGCAGTTATTTAGATCTAAAGGAAATAGTTATTCATCACTGAAATTTTTTTAATTTACAAAATCAGTTATTCATAAATTTTTGAAAATCAGAATTTTTCATAATTTTGCATTATATATTTTAGATCAAATATAATTCTGTTAAACTAACAGATGCTTTAGTAATCATTGGACTGTTTCTTATAATTAAAAAATTAAAATACAGAAATATACTGTTGATAGTAATTAGAGCGTCAAAAAAATGTACAAAAGCGACACCGGTGTCTCAACTACGTCAAAAGGTTAACAACCATAATAAAGTTTCTTAACAACAGTATAACAGAGAAACAACTTATATAATAATTGGTAAAATTATTTTTTTTTTCTTCATGTAAAACAAAATTTTCTTCAGTAGAAAAAAAAAATGATAGTGTTTTTAGTGAAGGGTAATTTCTGGAATTTCTATTTCAGTAGCCATTAAGCTTTCATTGTGTTATTGTTATTATTATTACTATTATTCAATTATGCAAACTGCTTTAGGAGATATTGTTGCTTGTTCTTTGCTGTCAGACACCGAAATTATTTGAAATATAAAATATACTATTGATGAGAGTGGAAACTGATAAGTTCTTTTCATCTGCTCCTGCTCTTTAAATAATGATATTCTCTATAGAAATTTGTATGGTATAGTTTTGCATTCATAAATATTGTTCATCACGTGACCAATAGGAGTCTTAAAATCGTATACCATGACGAAATGGGACTATTTTTCCAGTCCACCTACACACAAAGATGAGAATAATCAATGAAGTTGTGTATCTTACCTGTTGTGATCTTTAATTTGCAATAAAAAAACACCATCTATTAAACAGCATCAACTGTCTAAAAGTTTGCTATTTCTATGTAATTATTTGCAAGCAATTACAAATATCTGCAACAATTATCTTGCTGTTAATCCGTCGATAATATTCGAAAATCGGCGAATAATAATATAGAATATTCAAATGGAAAGTTAGCAAATCTAGCTGGCTTTGAAATGTATAAATACACGTCATCTATTGATGATGACTTCGTATTTTACTACTATTTGTTTTGATTTATCTATTTTGTGTCTGCAATGTGAGGTTATTTTCTTTTTGCGCTTTTTATATGTTACATTTAAAGGGATACCAAGTATTTATTTTTAAAATTAAATTCTTTTATTAATTCTAGTCGAAAGCACAAGTTGTTATAAATGGGCAATTTTGAGTCAAAGAAGAATTTGACCATCTGTTTTATGTATAAAATGTCATGTGATGAACCCTCGTGAATTTGAATGAGAAATTATTTCAAAGCCAGGTAAAAGCATCGTGATTAAATGAAATTAGTGGATAAATTGACTTTAAATTTAAGTTTTTGTATTTCATTTTCTTTTATCAAATAAATGAAACCGTAGAAAAGGTAACAATCACGAAAAAATACACCCGCATTTATATGTTCAAAATTTTTTCATCTCTGTTATTTATTTATTGTTCTGTTTTAAAATCTAAATAGCGCTGTTTGATTGCAATTACTTAATATTACAGACAATTTGCTAATTTTAATACTTCAATATTTAACGTTTACGCTGTATGAATGTTGCGAATATTATTTACAAGTAACGAATCACTGACCTTAACGATTCCGTTATTTTTATTATTTTTTTAAATGTGCATTAAATATATATTTCGCTATTTTTCTTCTTCTTGAGAGCCAGGAAAGAAAATACCTGAAACGCATTATTTCTCCGCAAGAACAATTCTGAAGCTTCATAATTACAACGGGGTGCAAGGTGTCGGGAAGTCACGTGACAGCAAGTTTTTTCTTTCTTTCTTTCCTTCTTTATTTTTTTTTCTCTCACGATTGTCAACATGCGCTACAAGCTAAGTTACTGAATTTTCCATGTGATCTTGAACAAGCTGCATATTTGTAAACAAAGATGTTGACAAGTGTCTTTTTTTCTTTTCGCATTAGTCACATTATAAATTTCCTTTATCGAATATTTTAACTTGCTGAATTCATCTTTTCGTCTAATAATTATCTCGTTTAATATTTATCTCGTCTAATATTTATCTTGTCAAACAATTATCTCGCCTAATAATAATAATTCGACCTATCTTATGCGTTTTATTCCAAATACCTCTCAACAACTATATATTTTTACTTAAAACTCGAAACACGCATTACACTTTATGAACTTAGTAGACAACTCTACAACTACTAACATTAAAATAAAATATAGTTTGAGATTTCATTAACTACAATTAAATATAATTTCATCAAGTGAATTTTTTTTTCCTCAATTTTTTTGTCTCTTAACAGTGTCGGAAAAACTACATTATTTTTGTAGTTTACTACAACCATTTTGTTACAAATGTAGTTAACTACAACCTTTTTTTTAAATGCAGTGTCTACAAACTACTTTGGAATTGTAGTAACTACTTCACTACTTTACGAAGACGAACTTGCATTAAATATAAGCGAATAATTAAGAAACATATATTCATGTTTACATGAGCCAGTTTGTTATTCCAAAAAAAAAAAATTTCGAATTTTTTTTCATTTAATCTTCAACTTTTTCTTCCTTTTTCAACAACGAATATTTAATTTATGAAACACGAAATAATTAAATACTTTAAATTTTTCAATTGTGTAATACTCTTTTATTTTCTCTAAAAAATTAAGTACATAGAATATACGTTCCCTTCCTTTTAAGTAACATCAATGTTTCACGAGTGTACATTCACATGTGAAAGTGTGACACTTAATCACTAATTATTTATTTTTCGTAATGGCTATTTGAAATATTAGTTATAAGTAATTTTAAATATGTAATTCCTGTTTACACTCAACTGCAGCCATAGGGTTATTTTCATTGCATCCATTGACGGACCCTCGAAGATTTGTACCCATCAAATTCAAAAATTAATTGCATTAGAGCCGTTCTTTTTTACTAAACTATCGTTGAAAGTAGTTTCCAGGAATCGCTACAAACTACTCAAACCATCAAAACCATCAAATTCGAAAATTAATTGCGTTAGCGCCGCTCTTCTTTACTAAACTATCGTTGAAAGTAGTTTCCAGGAATCACTACACACTACTCAAACCATCAAAACCATCAAATTCGAAAATTAATTGCGTTAGAGCCACGCTTCTTTACTAAACTATCGTTAAAAGTAGTTTCCAGGAATCGCTACAAACTACTCAAACCATCAAAACCATCAAATTCGAAAATTAATTGCGTTAGCGCCGCTCTTCCTTACTAAACTATAGTTGAAATTAGTTTCCAGGAATCACTACACACTACTCAAACCATCAAAACCATCAAATTCGAAAATTAATTGCGTTAGAGCTGCGCTTCTTTACTAAACTATCGTTGAAAGTAGTTTCCAGGAATCACTACACACTACTCAAACCATCAAATTCGAAAATTAATTGCGTTAGAGCCGCACTCCTTTACTAAACTATCGTTGAAAGTAGTTTCCAGGAATTGCTACAAACTTCTCAAACCATCAAATTCGAAAATTAATTGTGTTGGAGCCGCTCTTCTTTACTAAACTATCGTTGAAAGTAGTTTCCAGGAATCACTACACACT